AGCTGCATTTTAGGCCCTATAGCGTGATTTCATAGCTCTCTGAAAATTGGTTCTATTCAACACAAGAGATAGAAGGTGGTGGTAGGGGGGGAAGCTTCAACACACAATCATTTCTTTTCAATTGGAGCCAGAAAGGTTGATGACAACATGACCATTGTGTGATAATGATAAGACCACTAAGGATCTGTACTTCTCATCAAGGCTTTCACACAACAGCAGATACAATTTAATTCACTGCTCTGTCAGCAGTGCTGATACCATTATGCCGTCTGTCTCCACAGTTATAATCACTGTCCTCCGAGAAATGCAGTTGAAATGATCTTGAGCAATCAAAGAAACTCTCAATTAAGGCTGCCACTTCCAATGTGTCAGATTGTGTCTTATGCACTTGGTACAATTTTCACTTCCAATCCTGTTTATTTACAATGTCGGCCAGTAATTACGCTTAACGTGTCATTTAGTGAGGGTGCCCTGCCAAGGAGATTGTTGGGTGCTGCAGTGCCATTGAGTGGGAGTTTCTTGCAGTCAGTGCCATCAGCAGCTTTTAGTCCCTGATGGGATGCGGTAGTAATGTTGATAATGCAAGTATCACGCTCATCAAGTCATAATTAGATGCCACTCAAATGTGCCACTTGTAATAACAGTGTTGATTCATGTTTTCTCGGTGACTGCAACTACTAATTAGTTAAGTGGTTTTTGGTTGGCCTGCCTTTGCTGCATATTATTATTACCCCTGAAAAAATGTGGAGGTTGGAGAGGTTTCTGGCCACTTAGTGCTGCATTATGAATTTTAATATCAGCGTAATAAGAAATTTGGGCAGTCTTAGGAGGTAATATATTTTTGTATTTAATTTTTCAGGCATTTTTCCCCTTTGGAATGTAATCATAATTGCAGGTTAACTAATCTTAAATGAACCACAAGTTATGTCTAGGCAGACAGACTTGATTTAAAAAACACTTTATATTTCATATGAAAAAGCTAACTAATTTTCTCTGCCTACAGTTTTAATGTAAAGGGCTTCTATTTCTCAGAACTTTCTGGGCTAACTTTGAGAAATAAGAAAGCATCTTAGGATAACAACAAATGGCACACAGTCAGTTTTTCTTTGCTTTTGACCATGGATTGCATCAGATATAAAACCTCAGTGCCATTTCACACATCAATTATTTCTCAGTTCATCTGTTTCTTCAGGCTGTGCATATGAATCATGTGTACATGCAACAAGGATAGCAGGCACCTTTGCATTTATGGCTGCAAAACATACCCATTTCAACTCTGTCTTTCCCATATTAACACTTTATATGTTCCACTGTATGTGTAAAACCTTTAATGGATATTTAACTTTTTTAAAAGGAGGGTGTGTGGTGGGTGGGGTAGAAGGCTACAACATCGTCTCTTTGGGATGATAGCCAGTGGACTTTGCTTCCTGGACTCCTGAGCACTGGAGTTTTAGGATGGTGAAAGAGTTTTTCAGGGAGCTTAGTCCCATGCACATGTATTTAGTAGGCTCACTCAGTTTATGGCATACAATCAAAATGGGCGTCCTGAGCTGACTTAGTAGAAAATAAGCCTCTTAAAGGGCAGAAACTTGTGCAGATTCTTTTCACTTTTACATTCTTTCACTATATGATCCCAGCATAGAGAATTTCTCTCAGCTAATGTACATTTTACCTTATCTACATGAGATGTACTGCTATGTGGCACCTTTCCAGACCCAGCTATAGCAACACATCTGGCATTGTGCAGTGTCTTTGTATGTCTCCTCCTAATAAGCCTGTTTGTTTTAATCTCTGTCTTGATTCAGTGCCAGATGCTCACAGAACTCCAAACATAAATAACAATTACAGAAAAGACAGAAAGAGAGAGGCATTGATCTCTTATTATTTTCCAGACACTGTTCACTACACCTTTTTCACCAAGAAAACTCAAAAAGGCTTGGGTTATTTATTTATTTATTTTTTATTTTTCGATTTATATCCTGCCTTTTTCCTACAAAGGACTCAAGGCAGCTTACATCATTCTCCTCCTCCATCTGATCCCCACAACAACAACCCTGTGAGGTAGGTTGGGCTGAGAGTCTGTGACTGGCCCAAAGTCACCCAGTTGGCTCCATGGCTGAGCGGGGACTAGAACCCAGATCCTCTGAGTCCCAGTCCCATGTCCCAGTCCCATGCTCTTAACCACTATACCACACTGGGTTAAGTCTGAAAGACAGCAAAGGGAAACATTAGGCTTCCAGAAACTCCAATCAGTTCTAACCAGCTTATAGTGAAGGGTGCCCTTTTACCACATCAGGAGGGCCATACATTCTCATCTCTAAGAGAATACCCCTTCTGTAATACCTGATAGAGCACACCTTCTTAGCAAGATCATCTATATGCCATGCTTGGACAGAAGGCCACACGACATGGGTGACTGTTCTCCAGTTATAGACTCCTGCCTCATGCTCAATATTCCACAAATCCAAGTTCTGCCAGTTGGTGGGAAGATGGAAAGAAGTCCCCCCATATTTCTTCTTCTTCTTCTCCCATTGCAGTCAGTAGGAGCCATCTCTGTGGCTTCCTTAGCTTCTAGGTCTTTTAAGGATGGTAGATGGGTGTCTGCAGACTGATGGGATCAAGCTTCCTGAACATCAACAACTTCCTCTCACATGCTGAGCAGAGGAAGGCAACCCTAGATTTAAGCCTCAGTAGCGCAGGCCATAACTTAGGATAAGATGTGGATGTTGTCAAACCAATCGGTAATAGTGAAATCAATGCTATCAGATTTAACATGTTGGTTCAAGTAGAAAATGGCCAAGGCAAGCCACATTTGACTTCAAAAGAGGAAACTGTTCTAGAATGAGGAAACTGGTAAAAAGGAGGGTGAGGGGGGCTTAAATTGTTTCAAAATGCTTGAAGATTACTCATAACTGTTATAACAGAAATTCCTCTAGAATGTATATCATAGGTTATGACAGGTAGCACCAAGTCCAAGACGCTAATGAACAATGTAAGGAAATCTGTTAGAAAAAGAAAGTGGAATTCATGCCCAAATGAAGAAAGTAAAAAGCACAGGAGAGATGCAAGCAGATGATAAGAGATGCAAACAAGCATTTTAAGGAATGTATCACTACTAGGATTTAAGGACAATCATGGAGAATTCTTTAAATAGATCAGTTGCTGGACGATTGAATTTGAATGAGCCAAAGGAAATTGCATAGAAGCAGAATGAGTTATTTTCACCTGTCTTCACTGCAGATGTTATAACACAGAATGATGTATGTACCTGAACTGATATTCTCGGATAGGGAGACTGAGGAACTGAGATGCATAGAGGCCACAAAAGATGAAGTTCTGAATCATGTCTCTAAGATTGGCTTAGGAGGATTTGGTATATTATAGACCATTCAGCTTAAAGTGTGCCCTGGATAAATTGGTTGAAAGCATTATTAAAGAAAAAATCAGTAGATACAGGAGGACAACCCATGATGAAAACAAATCAGGATCCCTCACTATCATGTCTCAGATTTTTGTTTTTGAAATTGTCCATAAACACATGGGGAGTGGCAATCTGGTAGACATTGGTTATTTGGCCTTCCAAATTTGCCTCCTGATCAGCTTTGCAGTCATGGAACAAAAGGAGAGGAGTGGAGCAGTAACTGGCTACAGAGCAGGAAGTAGACAGTGGTAATAAATGGTCTATTCTCCCAGTGGAGAGACGTAAACGTTTGGGCACCGCAGGGATCACTTTGAGGCCATGCTTTTCAACTTGTTTATAAACAATCTGGAACTAGAAGTGAGTAGTAAAGTGGCCAGGTTTTCCAATAACACCATATTATTAAGTGTGTTTAAAAGAAAAAGGGACTGTGGAAAGCTCCAAAAGGATCTTTCTGAGCTGGGAGTTGGAGCATCAAAATGGCAGTGTGTGGCTGCTGTAAAAAAAGGGAAATTCTATGTTAGGCATACTTTAGAAAAGGAACTTAAATTAAATCTGCCAATATCATACTGCCCTACACAAATCTGTGGTGTGACTGGACGTGGAATTCTGTGCACAGTTGTGTGCACATCAGATCTAAAAAAGGATATTGTAGAAATGGAAAAAGTGTAATAAAAGTCAATTAAAATGATAAATGACTTGGAGCAGCTCTCTTATATGGAAGGTTACAACAGCTAAGACTGTTTAGCTGAGAAAAGAGGTAAGGGGAGAATTGATAGAAGACTATCAAATTATTCCCAGATACTGGATTGGGTGGGAGGGTTTGCAGTGATTTAGTAATGGGGATATCAGTGGCGACTGGTCTTGGTGGCCCTTGGCTTCCTCCAGTATCAGAGGCAGTCTGCTTATATACACCAGTTGCTAAGAATCCCGGGCAGGAGGATGTTCTTGCATGCACGTCTTGCTTGCGGGTTTTCTTGTGGGCAGTTGTTTGACAGTTGTGCAAAAAGAAAACTAGACTGAATGGAATCTGGTCTGATCCCTTTTACGTTATTATGCTCCTAGCGTGCCCTGTTTTCACAGCCACATCTTGGAGGAACAAAGATAATGGCAGAGTGTTTCTCTACTGCTATAAGCAGACTTCCACTCATGACTTGCCCTCTCTGCCTGGAGGAAAACAAGTCTGCAGCATCTAAGAACTTTTGATTTAATGTTAGGTAGCTTTTTAGGAATGTTAGGCAGTAATTTCTTTCTGGATAGTAACTCCCACTGAAAATAAGAGACCTGCTTTCTAAGCAAACTGTCATCTTCTGTCTCCATGTATGAAGATCATGGAAATATGATACATTATCTTAAGCCTTCATGCTTGGTTTTGTTTTAGCCTTCATAACTGTTCTAATTTATTAGGTAGTTTGTGTATGCATGCATATGAATATAAATGCTGTTTCTAACAAGTAGTTACAGAAGTTCATGTAGGTACTCATAATCACAGGGTGAGCATTCTGAGTAAAAATGGGTGTGGGGGAGCAGTTGACACATATAAAACTCAAAATGAATCAGTTATTTCCCCCATATGTTCTAGTATCTCACATGGTCATTGAGGAAGTCAGCTGTATACAGAACCACCTTGAAATCGAAAAGACGTGCCGTGAAAGTGCAGAAGCTCTGGCGACCAAGGTAAGGATTGAGTTTGCATTTTTTTTCTGTTCAAAATGCATCATCTCAGAGATATGATAGCTATGCCAGTTGCTTCTAGTTCACTCCGGCAGACTGGACAAACTGTGGGTCAGCTTGGTGATTGAGACTTGCGGCTAAGCACCATAGAACACAATGGCACTCCCTTCCCAACGAATCTGCATAAACTTGTGCTGTTGGGCTAGAGTTCCATGCACAGTTGTTTGGCTGTACAATCTGTTGGATGGGATTTATGCTGAGTAAATATGCAAAGCACTCGCCACTGCCTGTCTCCTGGCAGGGAAGGTGTGCAAAAGTGTGTCTGAATGAACATATGTAGGTGCAATCATCAATTCAGTGCTGAAGCGTGTTCCTTCAGAGTAGGTATGTGACAAAATTTCTACATGGGGAGTATACTTCGGACAACAGGGTTATACTTTCATGTTAGACATCATGTTAGAATTAGACATGCTTGTGTTATTTTGCTGCATATATGTTTGCTGGGAAGCCATAAATGGCCCAGTCTGCATAAGCGATTGTCACATGTGATAATATGCATATGATTTTATATTACTCCCTCCATAAAAGAGTTCTCGGTATGGTAAAAGCACCATTTCTGAAGCAGCCTTGAATCTGGGGGAGTGGAGAGAAGATCTGAGGGTGACAGTACTAAAAAGATAAACAGCCATTTTTTAAGCAATGTTTTTACAGGTTTTGCTTTAGATTTGTGTGCAATGCCCCAAAGAGATATCCACTTATATTTGTTTTTAAACCTTTAAAAAGTTTGATAAGCATAATTGAATAGCAAAAGGCAGCAATTCATAGAAAGTATACCTTTTATAGCCTCCTCCCACCCCTATTTTCTGGCTTTGGGTTAACCGATAAGTCAGCTCCAAGGTGCCCTGTGTGTCTGACATGAAAGAATAATGAGCATTTCAGTGTCTGAATCAAATGGAAAAGTCAGCCAGAGGATTACATTTCAGGTGATTGTTTATGAAAGCAAACCATGGAGCGAGCAAAAGGTGACCTGCACTGCTCTGTTGATTGCATCTAGGTTGATGAATTTACCAGGTATATAATTTTCTATATTCTATCTCATCAGAAGTACATCATTATTATTATCATTATCATCATCATTATTATTATTGAATGTTTTTATCTCTTTGTGATATATATAGAGAGTGTGTAAAATGCATCTGAGCCACTTCATCATCAGAAAATGGATTGCAGCAATTTTGAACCAAATTTCATTAGCAATGCTGACTGGTCTATGTGCATTTGTACATTTTTTCCACCTGCCCAAAGTACTTGTTCAGATGTGGCAGAAATCCCACCAGCAGGAAATCTTTTTTCATTTAGATGCATTAGCAGTGTACATTCTGGAGTTATTTACTTAATTGTTTGCATAATGATACTACATTAGGATTCATAAGATAGTCAACTTATCAGTAAGAAAATGAATTTATGAATGCAACTCTCCTTTTTTCCATTCTTTGTAACTAGTGACACACACTGACTGTTAAGAGACTAGCACCTTTGTGTTGGGCTGCTGTGTCAAAGTTGACTCACCTCTTAATATCTGGTGACCGAGCCACACAGAGTTTCTCATATTTTCTGTCGTGTTCTATAGATGTAAAAAGTACTTGGCGGAACTGCTAGTGCAGGGTGACTGGAAAGATGTGCCATTTTCATTCACTGTGGCTGAGGAATGTGTCGGGAGAAGAGATCTGGCTTTTAATATGCTATAGTATCCCTTCTAAGTAAACTAAGGGCATAGTCATAGCCATGGTTAGACAGAAAAAAACCCTACCGCTCCCTAGCATCCCCAGCCCAAGTGAGAATGCTGTTAAGTTTCAGGCTCATTTTGCCTGTCTAAACGCACATAGGGTTGTGTCCTAAGATTCTGAGTCTCTGACTCATGTTGAATGTCTCGTGCTCCTTTTACAACCCCTGATACAATTCGAGATATAAGCACTGCATCTCTCAGTGGAAGTTCTGTAAGATATCCCTGGCTTGTGACTTCGCACATCACCCCATGGCAGAGATTTCTGAAGAAGCCATAGTCTGAACGATAAGGAGAAAGACCAGGCAACAGAAGAGAAGGCCCCCTGTTGTCACCACTGCCGCCAGGGATTCAGACTTGATGAGTCCATTCTGTCAGGATCAGAGCCCCTGCAAGTGCCTGCAGGACCAGGAACGCCCTTGCAGGGGACCTGCAGGGAACCGCTGTGTGGCAATTATGCAGTGCAGCTGGAAGTCCTGGAGAGCTGCATAAAAGGCTTCACTGCAGTGCTGCTCCTTGCTACAGCAACATGAGCTGGTTTGGAGGCTACCCCATGTGCTAGCTTCCAGCAGCACCTCGCTTGACTCCTGGTTCCTACCTGACCCCTGTCCAGTTTCAGCCTCTTTCTGCCTCCATCCTTATTTCCAGGGCACCTGGTAGCTGCACCCCTTCACCCTGACCTTGCCTTACTCCTGAATGTGACTGTTCAAACATGTGCCTTTCTAAACCCAGTGCAAGGCTCCACCTGGCATCTGTATACCTGTCCCAGTGTCTAGTCCATAGCCACCTTCCACCCATGCCCTGGACCGTACAAGTTCTAACTACCTTGTCTGACTAATTCCCTGTTTTGCTTTGATAAAGGATAGAATTGTTCGAAGGCATGGGCCGGAATTAGATCTGGATCTGTGGGTAGAACTCTGACTGATAATAGTTTCACAATAAAATGACTCTTCAACCCTAAGTTATGCTGCTGAAATGAAGAAAACTTGGGAGTAATCAGAAGTGGATTGTTTCTGGAAGGACTGTGGGCTCCATTCACTGTGTTATGAAACTCAACACATTCTTGGTCTCAGAATTCTTCTATTTTAAATATATGGATTTTTCACCAGGCTGTGAAATCTCTATATTCTATATTGGCAGATCTCTATATTCTAGTCAAGCAAGCATACAAAAATACAATGGATCCCAAAAGCCTAAAAGCTAATCACTTTTGCACTCTATTTTATACGAATATCATACTAATTCTGTTCTAAAGATATGTATGCGTGCTATACTAGTGACTTGACTGAACACACAGACTTCAATATGCTTGGGAGATTTTCTGTTCTTTACTATGTGTCTGGGAGTGTACTACACCATGTATATTGCTTACAGAGCATTCTTGGAAGTGAAAAGAATGAGGCAGCAATTTCTGTTTTACAGCTTTATGTGCACATTGTGTTCCAGAGCTGTCCAGACACGACAATAGTCATTGGTGACTACTAGTTCCCTTTTTCAGCTGAGATCACAATATAGTCATCATGGACAATTACAGCTGTAGTCTAATTATTCAAAAGGCTGCATGGACTTTATACTCACTAGATGCTAACTGGCTGATTCATAAGTGCTAAGTATTAATTAAATTATGAATATTTCAAAATATTTACTATGAAAATGAATCCTCTTTGATGCATTCCCTGAATCAAAAGCTGCGTGTAGGTTGCTGACAGCGGCAGCACCATTTAAAGCATGAAAAATAACAAACATAGAAGAAGAGAACGTTGCATTTGATCAAAGAATGCAAATTAAGACCCAAAGCTGAAGGGAGGTCTCTATGGTAAGGAAGAACCGGGCAAATTAGTGTTACTAATATATGTAGCCAATACGTGAGATAGAAAATAGATCATAGTCATTATCTTATTCATCTTTTCATCCTGTCTGTGGTCAAACTACTGAAAAGTAAGAACATGCTAAGGTTGCAACCCAGACTGGAAACTTGGCGTAAAGGAAGTGGGACTTTTCTCTTCCTACTGTGGTTCTAGCCAGGCGTATGTGCCAGCAACATGGACTGTCAAAAAAGCATCTGGGTGAATGAGTAATGTCTTTTGGGGCAATATAAACTGGAGGCAGAGGGCTACAATTAAAGGAACGTGTAAATGGACCATCAGACATGCTTTCAACAGGGGCTACCAGGCAGTCACTGTCTCTTCAGATCAGTTCCATATCTTAAAAATAAGGGGGTAGGTTGTCCTAGGGAGGTTTTAAAGATTAATAGGATAATGACAATGACATATTCTTCCAGCTGTCTGTTGTGTGTACAGCAATACAGAATGATTCAGAAAGGACGCCAGACATTTTATGGCTTCACAAGTCAAGCCAGTTGTCCTGGCAAAAGTGCATCGGTAGAGGATCTCTTTCTCATGGCTCACAAAGCCCACCTGCTCCAATTTCAGCAGGTGCTCTCTGTCTGAGTTACATTAAGTTTGGGTCGCAATTTGTAAGAATTGGCATGCTGGCATGCAATGCATGTACGAGGTATATGTGGCAAAAATAACAAAGGTAAGTCTCTATGATGGCATCTAGTGCAAACTAGATCAGGGTAAAGTTGCTGGTTTCCGCTCATTTTTATGCTTTTAAATATGAGCCTATGCTGGGAACATTAGATGGCAAAAGAAGAAGGGGACGGCAGAGGATGAGGTGGCTGGATGGAGTCACTGAAGCAGTCGGCGTGAGCTTAAGTGGACTCTGGGGGATGGTGGAGGGCAGGAAGGCCTGGAGGAATGTTGTCCATGGAGTCACGATGGGTCAGACATGACTTTGCAACTAACAATAACAACAACAAAATGTTTATAAAACTTATAGCACTGCCAAGCTTCATGACTGCCCTTAAAATAATAGCCCTCTGTTTAATGAAAGTGCACATTCAAGGGCTAAAACACAACAAAGGTATAGAGTGACATATGTTAAAATAAGTGTGCTGATGTTCTAGCATATGATCTTTATGTTCAGGTTCTTATTGAGTTTGACGTCCTTTTAAAATTGGTTCCTTTGGCTCCATGAAAATAATTTTTCCTTCTTCCTTTGGATTCTTTCAGTTTCAGAGACTCTGGAGCTTTATTCAATATAAGAGGCAATCTAATTTTAAACTAGATGTTGACTAGATTTCAAATTGTGCAGAAGCAACTTCAGCAATTCATGTTTACACCCGTACTTCAAGAATCCCATTCCCTACTTTGTAAATTGCATTTCAGTGCTGTTCCCATTTAAATTCCAGCAATAATAGCGCTCCAGTTGCTGTGGAATCATACAAATATCTGTACATGTGTTTTCTTGGCCATCTTTTCCCAATGTGATGCCCTACAAATATTTGGACTACAACTTCAGTCAGCCTCACCTACATGAATAATGGTTAGGGATGATGGGAGTTGTACTTGAAGCAACTTGGAAGTTGTACTTGGAAGGTACTAGGTTGGGAAAGGCTGCCTTCCGTTATCTGTTCTGTGATTCATTGTTAAAATCCATCTTATTTTATTTCAAAACACTGCAAAAGATCACGTTGTCAGCATTTGCAGCTTAATTTATTCATTTGACTTTGTGGTAATTGTCATCTCCGTCATTGTTATGCTAAGAATAGTCTGCAGTGTCACCTTAGATTTTCACTTACCTGCACAGCTGCAGTGAAAAGAGTGAGGAAAGTACTACAATGTGGGTACACTTTGGATCTCCAAAGGTCCTTGAATTATGGTGTTACATAGATGGGAGGGAGTAGCAAAACCAAATCAGTACCTCGTGTGCCCCCCCCCCCATTTTAGCCATATTACGCCCTCCCTTCCTATTATCTAAAAACAATTAGCTAAGGTGACCAGCATAAAAGCAAAAGTGTTTAGTATCCTTCCCCATGTTATTCAAATGCGGATTGCAAGAGTGTAAAGCATTTCACAGACATTATCTTGGTGTTCCTACTACAATCTTTTAAGATAAATGAAGATGATTAAACAGATGTGGAGGAGGGGCCAATAAATAGGTATCAATTTACTTGTGGCCACCTAGTGAACCACTAAGAGCTCTACTACTATCAGCTAACATAATCTTGGACCAAATATCCTTAAAGTTGGCTAAGGTCACCTATAAATGGCTGTGTCTTTCTGGGACATAGTCAAGTTTTTTTTCCAGCTTACTGACTTCTGGCTCCCATTCTGAATGCACTTTCCCCACTAGAGATCCCAATGTGGAGCAGGAGCCAAAGGCTTTCTTGCAGAACATCACAATATAGGTCAAAGCTCCCCACTGCCTCCTCTTGAAACTGCTCCAGTTTCTCCTTTGACTGTGCAAATGGCGGCCAGGCCTCCTGACACCTGAACTGGACCACAGTGGGGGATGTGAAGGATTAAAGTCCTACAACCTCCCCCATGCTAGAGTCCCAATCTAGAGTGGTTTAAAGTAAGGAAGTAAAAAAGTAGGTAGCTGCTTCCTGAAAGGATTTAAGGCAATGTTTAGTTTGCTAGGCTTCCACTGTTTGCTCTGTTGCAATACTGGAATCTCAGGGCCAAGGAACAGCAGCTACCCAGCAAGGAAAGCTGACGCAAGAGAACATTTGGGCTAGTCAAGGGCATTTTATCTTACTCTCTTGCTTACCCAGATAGAAAGGTTGGTGTGTTTTGGCTGTCCAGTCAGCTGAGGAAAAATGCAGTTGCTGAACAATTAACTACTAAAGTGGCAATCTTTTCTGGGTCTTTCCAGAAACTTCCAGCATCACACCACCACTGCTACCGAGGGTCCACCCGGCCGGGTTGCATCCAAAGGCTCCTTTCCACCAGAGGAAGCTCTTTCTGTCAGAGAACAGGAATCTTTGGATGTGACTCACCATTCTGCTTTTAGTGTCTGAAGTTAGCTTCAGGAAGTGTGTTTCTGAAAGGATGCCCACTCTTAGGCATCAGTTGCATTTCAGCCCTTGGCACAAATTGTACTTTTTATGTTTTGATTTATTTACACAAACGATTATGCCCTGCAGTTCCAGTTCTTATGTCTGAGTGAAGGCTAACAATTAAAACATAGCTTGATATACTGAATTCAGTCCCTTCCAAAATACAAAAGAATAAAAACAGAGATTGATGCAGGGGATAAAATGGAGACATCCAACAGCAATTGATTCATTAAAATAAAGGCTTGCCTTCAACAGGAATGTTTTTACCATATGGCACAGTCCATGAGAGGGGCGAATGAAGGCTTCCCTGCAATATAGGTGTGGCCAGAGGGAAGGTCCTTTTTCTAATCTCCATCAGCTAAGCTTAGGATCTTCCAGATTTTTTGGCCTACAACTCCCATCAGTCCCAGCTAGCATAACCAATATAACCATCTTAAGGGCAGTAAGTTACCCACTCCTGGACCCAAGTGTGATGCCCTTCGTGGTTTGTTTGTTTTTTTTAATTTAAAAATGAAGAGAAATGGTGAGAGGGCATTCTGGACAGCAACATATGCTTTACATTTGTAGCTCAGCAAAGAAAACAAGACCTTGAAAAGAATCAGCATGTTGTACATGGCAAAACTGGGGCCAGATATCATTACAGAGGAAATAAACATCGATGATGAAGATACTTCCACAGACACTGAAGTTAGCCCTGGTGCTTGTGACTCGGTGCAATGCCAACAGGTGATAAAAGGTGAGCACTTGCCTCTAAATTAGAGACTGCCTTTCAAAAAGGTGAGATTAAATATGTAATATCAGATTTCACTGTGATGAATAAAGAGTTCTTTATAGTCTTATATGGGAATCTGACTGCAAGCTTACTGGGAGGAAGCCCCTCTGAACTTAATATATGGGATTGGACTGACCGTAAATGGGACCGTAAACTTAATATATGGGATTGGACTGAGCCCAGAGCATGCCATGCTGATATATGGCCATTCTTTCTATAGCCATTTGCAAGGTTGCTTGACATTTGACAAGCTTCCTATATGGATATAGTGAAGGAAATATGGGTCCCCCAAGTGTACATTACAGTGTGATGAAGGCACATGTGACTCGTTTTTGTGATGCTTGCATATTCTAGTAGCCTGTGATTAGTAGAAAGCTCTTCATCTTCTTCAGCTTTTCCTTTCAAAATTACAAATGGGTCCAATCCATTGTTACTGAGAATATTTTGAAGAGGAAACTGGCATTTTCATATTGTATGCAGACTCGATACTTACATTTTTGTTACTAACTATAAAATACCTTCTGCAAAGGGCTCATTGAACCTCAGATAGCTTAGCATAAACGCAGCAGCTGAATTGCAAACAAAAAGCTACTGAGCAGCAATATGAAATAAACTTCTAAGGTGGAAAGACCTATAGTTTCAAATTTTATTACCTTTCTTTCAAATTCATTTTTCATAAAATTGTGATTGTGACATTTAGAAAAAAATATTTTCACTTTGAATTAATTTTGAAATGAAGAGTTCAAGAGACAAAGTTAAAAGACTTATCTTCTGCCTATGTTAGGATGTATTTCAAACAATAATCAAATATTGTTATCTCAACAGCCGCTCAGAAAGTGTTCGCCCGAAACCCACTTCCTCCTTCTACTTGTTGTTGTCTGTGGGTTATGAACACCTCAGTTTAATTTTGATTAATGTTGACTCATTTGAATTTGGCTTAGGTTTTTAAAATGATACTTTTAAAATTACTTCTGCTTGTTTTGCTGGTGGGTTTATATAGGGTTTGGGTAGTTGTTTATATTGATTTTATATTTTGTTACATATTTCAATGTTTTAATTATAATGGTGTTGTAGTAACCACCTTGAGAGGCCAGGATGGCCCTTAAAAGCATACAGCCTTCTTACTATATTAATAATAAATATTTTATTCTGGGGGTTAATTGGTAGTATCGAATATGAAATAATTGCTTGCTGTCACATGTCCTTATCCCAGTGAGTGCTGAAAATCTCTTTAAGTGGGGACAGCAAATTTGTCACCACAACATTCTTGCCCGTTTAGGACCATTGTTAAAATGACACTGGGTTACAGGCGGCTGGTATCAAGACTAGCACAAAATGTGAACGGGCTTCCAACAGAGTTTTGAAACTCACAAATAGCCCCTTTGGAATAGATCCTCTCTAAGGCAGGCTGTGAGAGGACTGCAGTCCTGTAGAATTGATTTAATAACATATGCAGTTATTCAGAGTATGAGTCCCTGTTCTGAAAATCAAACTAAGAAAGGACTAGAAAGGCAGAGTGACTGAACAAGCAACTTGTAATGGTATCTGCATGCGAGGCACCTGCGTTCTTAATAATTGAAGAACCTATTGATGGCAGATTCTTCAGCTTTTCCTCCAGCATATTACTTTCTATGCTTGTGTGTTTTTTGTCTCGAATAAAAACGACCTACTGCCACTCTTGAAAATGTAGATCTGCGCGATCAAATTATATCTCTTCAGGAAGAAAAGAAGACCATAGCTATTGAGCTGGAAAACCTGAGGAGCAAATTTGTAGAAGAAATCCTAGAAGTAAGTATCATGACCAGAAAGTTGGTTAGCATGCTCCGGATTTCCTGTAACTAGTTTTGCTGAAGGCTTCGAATATTGCCTAATTCCACAGGTTTACTGGCATTGTGGAACATGGTTTGGTTTTGGTTTTTTCAGTTTGGGTAATGCCCTTTATGTATTTCATTTCCTCTCCATGTCTCTTTTCTCCTTTAGATGAATAATTATTTGCTAGGATTCAGAAAGAGACCCATAATTGGTGGCCAGTATTTCAAAATAGCATTTGAGTATTTAGGTGCAAGGTCTTGATTTGTAACCAACTAGTCTCAAGTGAAGCTCCAACCACTGTAGCTTCCATAGGAGTTGGGGAGAGGGAACTCCAACTAACAGGACTTTCTCAAAGTATAGCTCCATGATTATGGAACAGTGTGTGAAGACCATGAGTTAGCCCCTGCAGCCAGTAAGAGAAGACCATGAGTATATGAATAAAAAGTCCTCTTATTTTGCTGAGGTGGAGATCAGCATGCCTATATTTCTCATGTAATGCTGTTGCAATACTCTGAAAAATCTACAGGCAGAATATTAGCTGAGTCTCCTGTCTCGATTCTTGCAAGCTCTCCTGGAACAGATGACAGAGCACTAATTGTACATGCAGAAGACCCAGTTTCAGTCCCCAGTATTTCCAGCAGGGTGAAGAAAGAACCCTGTCTGAAACCATAGTGTACCTCTGCCTAGCAGTGTCTACAGCACTGAGCTAGACTGCTCTATGGTTTGACTTAGTGCAAAGCAGCTCCCTTGATCCTAATCTGGCTAGTTAGAAATCTAATGTTTATATGCAATGACCTAAAATCTATATGCTGTGCAGCTAAGCACATATTGTTACCCCCCCCCGCCCCGCCGCCACCAAGTTATTAAATAAATTATTCTAACCCTTTCAATGCAACTTGGGCTGGAATCCTGACTAAACATATTAGGAAGCAAGTCCCATTTTAAATTGATGGTACATGTTCCATTTAACTTGCTTAGGATTGCATGGCTAACTAGGAAGTGGATGTGGAACAGCTTCTTGTAACTTCTTACAGAGGGCTAGCAGAGCAGCAAGATCAACTAGGAAAATTGGATCACTCTAGCTTGCAACCTTAATGGGCAACTTCCTAATAAAATACTATTTTTTACATATTGGATAGAGGCTACATAGTTGAAGCCAAATCTAGTCTTCTAAGAGGTTGATTGCCATGACATCTTATATTGTTTCTCTCATTTCCAGGTGAATAAAGTCAAGAAAGAAAATGCAATTCTTACAGCAGAAGTTAATAAACGCCAGAAAGTGTTGGAAAAATGTAATCGAAGTATGTACAATCATAATCCCAGCATTGCAGCACCATCATTTTGAGAGCTATTTTGCTGTGGTATATATATACTCTATATATAGTGGGACCAAAACCAGAAAAACAGACCCGGGGACAACTGTACTCATGACCCACAGATTCCATATGCAAGAGCACATGTTAAATGTTAGATACATCAATTTCTGGCAGTCTTTGAACAGGATAACCTCAGTCACAAGCCAAAGTCACAAGAACACAACCATGCTGGATCAGATCAGATCAAAGGTTTGTCTAATCCAGAATTCTGGACACACAATGGCAACCAGCTGCCCACACAAGCAGGATGGGTGCAAGACCTCCACCTGTCCAGCTCCTCAGCAACTGGTATATGCAGGCACGCCACCTGTGGAGACAAAGGAGGACATACTCTGTAGTGATAAAAGCTGCAGATAATCCCTACTTCCATGAAACCATCCAATCCCTTTTTAAAGCTATCTACATTTGTGGCTATTTCCTGAGGCAGTGAAGAATTATTTTCTCTTGTCTGTCTTAACTCTTACCCCAGTCAGCTTCATGAGATGACCCCAAGTTTCCGTGTTATGGGAGAGGAAGAATAATGTGTCCCTCTCAATTTTCCCCCTCTCTATGCATAATTTTAAATATGTCTATCATTGCTTCCCTAACTCACCATTTTTCTAAGCTGAACTTTTTGCAACCACTTACCATAGGGGAGATGCGCCAGTCTCTTGATAACTTTTATTGCCCTTTTTTGTATCTTTTTTCCAATTCAAGAATGTCCTTTTTCAGTTGAGGTGACCAAAACAGGAACACAATGCTCTTAAGTTTGGTCACACCAAGGATTTGTACAGGGGGAGTAAGATTTTGACAGGTCTATTTTGTATTCTGTTTCTAATTTTGCTTAGCATGGAGTTTACCTTCTTCACAGCAGCTAAGCACCGGGCTGACATTTCCATCAAGATATCCACCACTACCCCAAGATCCCTATCTTCTTCAGCCACTGCTAGTTCAGAGCCTGTCAGTGTTGACTCGTCGTTTGGATTTTTTGCCCCAGTATGCATCACTCTGCAATTGCTTATATTGAACTGCATTTGCCATTTGGATGCTCATACCCCCAGCTTCACGAGATCCCTTTGGAGTTTTTAACAATTCCTTGCTGTTTTGACCATTCTAAATAGTTTGATGCCGTCAGCAAACCTGCCCACTTTGTTACTTACTCCTAATTATAGTTTTTTTATGAATAGATTGAAAAGAATTGGTCCTAATAGAGAGCCCTGCGGGACTCCACTGGTAACATCTATCCATTTGGAGAAATTACCATGTATTTCCACACTCTGTTTTCTATTCTTTAACCACCTTGTGATCCATAAGAAGACTTCACCTTTTATTCCATGACTGCTTAGTTTGTTCAGAAGTCTTTGATGAGGAACTTTGTCAAAACCCTTTTGGAATTCCAAGTAAACAGTATCTACTGGATCCTGTCTTTGTGCTTGTTGACATTCTCAAAAAACTCTAATAGATTTATAAGGCATGTGGAAGCCATGTTGACTTTATCTTATCAGGGATTGTCCCTCTTTATGTTATTGATTCTGTCTTTAATTATGCTTTTATTACAGTACTGCCTTTGTTGGCAGCTTCCCTGATTTCATTTGCCATCTCAAGATCACCTTGAGATCTGGAGAATGATAACCTACTCCAATGATTAAGTTCATTTTGAAACCAGGAATTTCCAACTGTATGGCTTCTGTGGAGAAGTCTTACAGTGTTCTGGACGCAACATCCTCTTTAACATAGAGGGGAACTCCTCCTCCATGTCTCCCTTCCCTGGCATTTCTATGCCATTTATATCCGGGGTGACCGTGTCCCACTGGTTATCTTCACTCCACCAGGCTTCCACAATGCCCACCGTATCTAGCATCTCCCTTATTGTCATGCACTCCAGCTCTCCCATCTTGGCCTGAGGCCCCTGGCATTTGCAGAGCAACACTTGAGCACTCTGTCCCTTCCTTCTCCCTGCATTTATTGTTCTGGCAGTTTGCCCTTTCGAACTGAATATAATGGCCTGTTGTGACCTTGTTGCCAGTTTTCTCCCCTGCTGTACTTGAGCAATTTGAAAGTCCCTCCCCTTTATCCAGCAAGGATAAGTTGATCCGAGTCAGATGCTTCTGCTCCTGTCAGCTTTCCCCCAGGATTTAGTTTAAAAGCTGCTCTGCCACATTTTTTATGTTACGTGCTAGCAGTCTTGTTCCATTCTGACTGACATGTAGCCCATCTCTCCTGTACAGACCCTCCTGGTCCCAAAATGTTTTCCAGCATCTAACAGAAATGGAGCCCTGCTCTTTATACTAGCTTCTCACCCACCTATTGAGACTCCTCAGTTGCACCTGTCCAGCTGGCTCCGCACATGAAACTGGTTGTGTTTTGGATAAATCCAGCCAGCTTGTGTCTTGTATGGCTTACACTGCTGCTGCTCCTGGATTCCTTCCTGTCCGCCACCCAGTTCTTGCCAGTCCCATAAACATCAGCATGAGCTTGGCCAGCATTCTGTGGAACTCCACTAGAAAAGCTAGACAAAGTTAGGAATTAAATCTGCTTGCTTAAATAGAGGACTGAAATTGATCTGTCTCCCTTACTTTTCCAGCTTTTTAATGAATGCTGTAGGTAAGGAAGTTGCTTGCCCTTTGACTTGTTTAGATCAGTGTTATATATGGGACTGCTTTTGGTGAGAGTTGAAGCTACAGATAGTTCACAATTTGTGTGTGTTTGTTTGTTATTTAAAACTTTTATATCCCATCCACTACTGAGGTCTTGGGACAGTCTTACAAAAAAACAGAATAGAGCACAGCATCCAAATAATTTCTTATTCAATGAACCCCCAGAATTAAAATCATAGGCAAGCCTTAATATAATGGAAAAATAGAAAGGTCTTAGCCTGGCACTGAAAAGAATAAGGTGTCAGTGCCAGGTGAACCACCTCTCAATGCAGGTGCTAGAGTGCCCAAAGGACCCAGGTGCTGGGATCATGTCTTACATATTTTAAAAAAGTGTTACTGGCCAAGTTCAACCGTATTTCCAGGCTCAGTTCAAAGTGCTGACACTTACCTTGAATGTTGTACACTATTCTCCCAAGTATCTGAACCTTTTAATCACTTGGAGTGGAAGTTCTGTCATGAGTTTTATTGCTCAGTTTCCTGCTGTTTATATATGTTGTGTTCTGGGGTACTGCATCCTATTCATTTTGCCTGAAAGTGGATCTGGGAATACTGTTGTGTTTGAAAGTGTGGGGCATACATTTACTTAACAAAGAATTTGTATGTCGTCTTTGCTGTGAGAGCATTGCCTGATGGAAATCAGGCTGTGGTTGAAGAAAGTATTGCTTTTGCTCTGCCCTTTGCTCACAGATTGTACTGGAGTTGCTCAGAATCTTCAGAGGGTAGAATCTTCTACCCTCTAATAATATACCTACATGTCTGCTGTACATGTAAAACAGAGCTTTGATCCACAGGATCTACTTTGTAATAATAACCCTTTTCCATAGTGCTGCTGCTGTATGGTTTATTTGTGAAAATATGTGAACTGTGCCAGAAGCTCTTTCTCTTCTTGTACAAGGTGAAATTGGGAACAAAGACTCAAGTACAGTCCAGGGCTTGCAGCAGAATGAGGCACTGGCAGATGCAAGACAAGACGAAGTTCAAGAATGCTAGTGGAGAAGACAAGAAAGGCTAGAAGCAGGAATCAGTGGGGTTCGGCAAAGAATTCATAGAGTGTGCATGGCCTACAGCAGGAGCATTGCTAGTCCTAAGTTAGCCCTTCTTTCAGTCCTAAGGCCACATTCCAATAGCCAGCAAGCTGGAAGGCAAAAAGTGGAAGAGCCAGAAATATCAGCACAGTTTAGCTTGAGATGCTTGCTACCAAATGAAGCCTTAGGAGAAGCATTTTAGAAGAAGGGGGAAATCCCGAACAAAAGAGAGGAGCTCACCAACCAATGGGGTAAGGTCATCTGGAGGACCCTTGCAGATGAGAATGGAACCTCAGCTGGGTCAGCTTTGCCCTTGGGCCTGAGATTTTCCAGCCCCGACCTACAGAAATCAACATTCAAAAGGAGATGGGATATAGAGATTGTGCCATGGAGCTGTTGGGCAACAGGCACTTTTGGTTTACTTTTTCTGGTGGTGCTGGGAGAAGAACCAAATGAGGCAGGGCATCTGAGTCACTTCAAGGTCCTTTCAGGTCAATAGGATTAGGTTTGGGACTGAGTCATAACCCGTGGGTATCAAGGGTTGGCAGTATGGTTCTGATAAAAGACTGGCGTAATGCTGAGCCAAGCCACTTGGAAAGAAATTCTTCCTTATTGTTACCATTCTCCTTATGAAATGGAAGTTGGTAATTGATCAGCTGTTAGCCACTGTTGGTTCATATTGCAAAGGGCCTCTGCATGTCGTTGACCTGTTCTGCTTCTGGCGAGGGCGTGCTTCCAAAGGCATGGCAGATTTACTGAGTCTAGATGTTGATGTTCTGTGTCATTATTCTGAATGCTGGCTCTTAGCGCTGAAGTTTGTCACAAGATCAGGACTTGTGAGCAGTCATTAAGAGATTTTAAAGAGTTTATTGTTACTAAGGTCTCAACTGAGTTGTGTGGGCAGAACAATGTGAAAGAGCATGCACGATATCTGGCTAATTTCAGCCAACAGTGTGTGCCCCAATTTCAAGAATGAGAGTTTTCAAAAAGCTCACTGAGCAATAAGCTTGTGGGATTTGTAATCTGTATTGATAGAGTTTAGTAAAGAAGAAACCTGTTCTCTTCTAGGTAGAGCTTGCTTCATTCAGGGTTGCTTCCCAGGTATGTGGTGAAATACGGGTTTCTTTCCCCCCTTATGCTTATAATGGGGTGGGCAGAATCTGAGCAAATCATACCTTTGTAGTGCACACATCAGCAACATGATAAAATGCAACATGTACCTTTGTGGAACATGTGTGTTCCCTTTAGAACAGCTAGGAAGATGCAAATCTGAAAGCAGATTTTGTCCTTGTGTTTCCTGCATGTGTGTCCTTAACCGGGTGAAGAACAGTATGAACAAATGAGTGTGCTGTGTGTGTGATCCCTGGCCAATACACAGCTAAAGCTGCATATAAGTAGACCTGGTCCAGGAATTGCCAATTGATGACCACCAGTGTTTGGGAATGGGGAACAGATTCAGCCCCCCGCCCCCCCCCTTCCCTTCCTGCACACAGAAAGTTGGCAACCTTGCCAGAGTACATAGATCTGGAATGCTTTAGATGTACACATGACATTTTTGTATTGGTCTTTTGTGCCATATGATAGCCTAAAAGAGAAAAGCTCCAATTTGTAATCCAATTCTTCTGATTGCCTGGAAGAATTTTTTTGTCACCACAGGTGACTAGCTGTTTGCATGCCCTCAGTGGCTGTTACTATGTGTAGTGATAGTGCTGAAGAAGATGGTAATAGTGATAATCTAATTTTACATTAGATTTTAAGAGCATAAACCCAACCAAAACACTAGTATCCATGGATACATGCGTAGCACAGGATACCTACATATTTATGGGTAAAGTGTAAAAGCTAAGCATTGCAATGAGTACTTTAAGTTTGATTTCACTGTAAAAGCTATGTGCATGTTTATATGTAGCATCTGGACTTAATTGAGGCTGTGAATGCATGTAACCTATGTAACCCTTTCAGGATGATGACAAGTTCACACAAACTTGTTCAAGGTAAACCAAGAAAACCCGATTCCTCCTGCTATAAGGGAAATGAAGGACGGATTCATGGATCAAATTATATGTAGCTATTTGGTGTCTGTTGCCTAGTGTGTGAGGCACCAGTGTAGTAAAGTCACAGGGCCTGTCAGAGAAACTTTGCAGTAGTTTTTAAAATACCTGGTGTTTGCCTTTAAGTAAAGTGAAAGTTTGAACATATGTGTATGTAGATGTAAAGGGAGACTGCAGCCAAAGAAAAGGTGACTGCGGCGCATGCAAATTAGAGCAACACTGCACACCTTGGGACTGTAGTACCTGCAGAACACCTCTTCCACCCAGAATCTTCCCAAATGCTATGAACTACGTATGAGGTATTCCTGAGTGCCAATTATGGAACAGTCATCCCTCTGAGGCCTGACTGGTGCCAACATTGTTTTCTTTTCAGTGCCAGATTAAGATTTTGCCTTCTTCCCAAGTGCTTAATAGCATGTCAGCTGTTTTAACAGGTTTGTTTTGGTTGAAATGGTTTTAGTTTTTTAAAAAAAGTTTTAAAATGTGTATATCAGAATTACGCTATATATCATGGAAGTCATACTTTATTGTGATTGCATTTTGTTATCTGTTCTATTACTGCACCCATTTTATGAGTTGCTACGAACTACCCAGAGACCTTTGGTTCTTGAGCAGTATAGAAACGAAATAAATAATAATATCCACTCCTTCCAGAACAATTTCAATATCATTTCAAGATTCTTAGTTTTTGCAATTAATAGACCATATAGAATTGCTGTAACCCAATAGATTGCATTGATTCTCAGATCCCTTTTAAAAAACAACATTGGCCTTTCTCTTCCATCAGTCTTCCTCCTCCTCCCTCTCTCCCCACAGGAGGAAGGCTCCTGTTACCTTTATATAGCCATTTATCAGTGCACAGTGATGTGCAAAACAGCAAATTTTCCAGAACCTTTTCCTTGTGTGGAAAATGCCCATTTTGTTAAGTTCATCTGTAATGATGGATGCCAGTAGAAAATATAATAGCAGACAAGCGTGGCATTTTCAAAGTTGTACATGGGTGGTTATCAGCATATTAGGAAATGGTGGCTTTGAATGTATTTGGTGTCTTTTCAGCTGCCTTTTAGCTCCTTGCAAGGAGGAGAGGCTGAGCCACTTCCAGGATAACTCAGGAAACAGTGGTGCCTCAATTCTCCCCTCCTTGCCCTGGAAACCCTCCCTAGTGCACTGACTCCGAGGATGATCTTCAGCCTTTGGAACCCAGCTGCGTGGAAATTGCTGCAGTAGCTGAGAAGGGGCAGTGGGGACTCACGAAGGCTGGGCTCTGGCTCTGGCCTTGGAAAGCCTTTCCAAGGTTGGGCCTGGGACTCTACTTGTCCTTTGGTGCTCCAGACAACTATGGATTGAGCTGTCCCTTAACATGTCAACAGTTTTCAGTACTCTTTTCCTTAATTTAAACAATATAGTGAAACTACATGGTATGAAGTTTAAATTTGTACAAACATTTTAATTAAAAACATAACATTTAAATCACACTGACATTTACTTTCTCCACCTCAAATATGAAGTTCCTTCCTTTCCTCCTCCTCCTTCCCCCGCTTTTGTTTAGCATTGTTGCTAGTTAAATACAAGTCAAATCAACATGCTGAAGTAAATCACTTTCTATCTAGAAATGTTCTGATACAAATTACCTTTAACAATGGTAAAACATTTCATAATTCAGCAAATTACTGTCAACATGGTGATCAGTCCATAGAATATCAGAGCTCTTTAAAACACTTACCATGGCATGTAGCCATGCATTTATGTAATCCTATTTCATGGCATCATAAAACATGACATTTTTATTTTTCTTCCTGAACTAATATTATTAGGCATGTCCGTGTGAGTTTGATTTTTTTCAGCCTCTTTTTTGCTTTAAACAGTGTCTGTACTGGCAGTAGAAGAGTATGAAGAACTGCAAGTCAATTTTGAGTTGGAAAAAAACTTAAGGAAGAGAGCAGAATCCTTTGCCCAAGAGGTATGTTAAATGAGTCAATTCTGTGTACTAAAGCAGACATTTTAAACAATGATCTAAAGGAAGGATAGTTTTGCATGATGCAGGAAGTATTGTTCTTATTATTGCTGTAGACTCTAAACCTGTGTAGTACGAACAAAGAGGGGAATGTATTCATACATAAATGAAAGTTAAGCTACAAATGGCCCTTCAGTTAGGAAACCAGCATTTACATTCCTGCTTCACTCAGTCAAGGTCAATACATTTCTATAACCACAGTAAAACTCTAGTATTTGTAAATTGTAAATTTATCCAGTATGGATGTGGGCGAGTGTATGTGTTTCTCTTGATACGAATTCCCAGATGGAAAGGACTTTATGGCTTGATCTGTAATGGTTTTTCTTAGGTTTTTATTATATATAAACAATTTCCTTTCTATTCTGCAGAGCTTTTCTACTTTGGACTGGAGTGGCCTTGACTGTATTTGGTGTCCTTTTCAGCAATGCAAAGAACCTCTTTAGCTCAGCTCAAAGGATTGCAGTGAGCAGTGATTTGTGCTGAACCGGGGGCCACTTAGAACTTCCCATGAGTTTCAGGGACAGCATGTCTCTCAGTATGTGAGGTTAACACTGTGGAAAGATGGGGCTCAGAACATTACTGCCCTGCCATATACATCCTACAGCCAGCAGGATGTGGCCCATATAAGTAAAATGCACAAAATTTTGCTTCTCCTCAAGGTTTTATTTAGGGAGGTGGGGCCGGGGGGTTATTAGATAAGTTGCAATGCTCTTGAGCACCTCCCAGTTCTTCCTCATTTTGTATTGTTTGCATTTTCAAATAAGGAAATTAACATTTTAAAGTAAGCAATTTATCCCAAATGGAAAAAAATAATCTTTTTTAAAATGAGCATTTTTATCCAACCAATATGCACAGATGTCCCTCCCTGTCACAAGTTAAAAATGAATTTTGAGGGCTTTGTGCATATACAGACATGCAGAGTTTTGGAAGTATGATTTGCTCAGCTGTTTGGTTTCAAACACAAATGCAGGTTTGTGAAATAGCATTTTTTTAATTTTTTTATTTTTGGTGATTTGTGTTCCTGTTCACATTCAGGGCTGTGAATGGGACATGCTTATAGAATTTCCAAGCAAAAACAAAAATCTTGTACATCCATATTTGTAATTCACTAACTGAGTTCTCATAAAAAGAAAGTGACCAGGACAAATTAAGTCTTTATTGTAAATACATGCATGTCAGGCATCAAGTTTACGCTTTTTCATCCATTCATTCATTAAATGAGAAAAATAATCCTGGAAGACATCTTATAGATGCCCAGAGCTAGGCTCATCAGCGTGTATTTCATGGTTTTTCATTGGGTGCTACATCTCAGGAACTCTAATTATACCTCCTGAGTCATCCTGTTGAAAGGGTTTGTTTCTTCAGGCTGACTGAATCATGTGCATTCAGGTATATGTTGTGTTTGTTGCTATATCAAATTTTGCTGTGCATTGCTTTGAACTAATTCCAGCACAATGAGTGTTTCCTGTACTGAAGTGTGTCACAGAGAAATAAATGTCAAGAGTGCTGACACAATCAGAGATGTGCTTCTGCTCCAGGGTCTTATTGAAGACCACTGGAAAAGACTCTCCACTGTTGGATTTAAGCATCAAGAACTTACAAGTATTTCCTTATTACTATCTTCAAAGATTAGTTATTACAAGTAATGCCCCCTTTACATATCTAATGTTGTGACCTGCTTTGAGCATGATTTATCACGGAAAAGCAGGATAATGAGTAAATATGATGATGTATGTCACAGGAAACTAAATATAGAAAGACTAGTGACAGCTTTGTGGCAAAATGCCACAAGAACATTACTGATTTTCCTCATGTGCTGATATATACTGAGTTTCGGGTTTTGGGAAGGTAGATGTCAGATGACAAGAACAATGATGATTGTGTTGGCTTGGTGAGCTCATTTCAGTATTGCAATTACATTCTTACTCATTGGAATGAGTGGGCATTCTTTTCATACTTGTAGAGTGCTACTCTAGCCAAATATTGTCTGAGTTCATGCAACATGAAAAGCGACCAACCATTAAAAAAAGTTGCTTGCCATGTTCTCCGAATGCAGTTGTGGTCTCTGGCCACTGTGACTTAATGTGCTCGTAACTACAGTCTTTTCTAGGGTTTCTCCTTATCACGATTGCTTGTTGTGTCACCCAGATATGGGCAACTCAACACATCATGGGGCAAGGACCAGAACAAGTTAGCTTCTTGGCAAGAAGCTCTGCTGCTGCTCTTGCCAAGTGGCTAGCCAGAGAGCACAAAATGGTTTGAAATGGAACATTAATTGGAGACATGTATCTCTTCTCCCAGGACATTTTCTCATCACCACTAGAAAGACAGCTTTCCTTCTCATTATGGGTCCCTGAGCAAGTACTTGGCAGATACCGTGCTTAAAATCCAGTATTGAACATTTGCATGCAAAAAGGTCAAATGCTGTTATCTGCTTTTTGTAAAAGTAGAGAAAAATGTTCATAATTTCAGACAGCCATGACCTTCTTGTATAGGAATTTTGCTCCTCTCATGAGATTGCATGCTATTGATTCAGAGATATCAATGGGCTTTATTAATAACAAGCTCCACAATAACTCTCATTTAGATGCATTAATGGCCTTTGGGTTATTTTGTAATAAATGTTCCATTAATATGTGATGGCTCTCTAAATGGATTGAAAAACCTGCACTTAAGAAAAGATTCTTATATGTAGCCTAGTTTGTATTGGGGGGGGGATCTGCTCTATAACTATAATTAATGTGACTCCCCATAGCTTCAGCTGTCATATACAGGAACTGGGTGAGGTCAAATGACAAGTATGTCAGCCTTTAAAATCTTTAATCTGTCACCTGCAGTACATAATGAAAGATTTAGCTTATTGGATGGAAAAGGCCAAGGTAGAGTTCTGTTGTAAAATAATCTAATATTTCCAACAATATTAAGAAAGTCAATGCAATTTTCAGTAATAAAGCTTAGGCATTCAGGAATAGAAGATAATAAACGAGTGGGTGGGGGTAGTACACTAAGCTTGATCTTGTTGGGAGTAAGATGGATGGCAATCTTGGGCAATCGTTCCCATGGACTGCTGGCTGCATTCCAGATTATTCAGCATTGGAAAGTGAAACAGATTTCAGTGAGATGGGTTAGGTCAAGATTCTGAGATGCAGGAAAAGGAGGAGGTGATTATCTCAAGGCGAGGTAATCAGTTCCATGAAACAACCAGGCAGCCCGGCAGTTCCTTGGAACAACCAAGACGTATAGCCAGTGGGAGGGGCCCCTGAGGATGATGAATTCTCAGATGCAGAGCAGCTGCCCACCCTCAGTCATGTGGCAAGGTGTCGGCAGAGACATGAGACCCAAGTGAATGAGGGGCACATGGGGAGGTGGTGTGCTCGCCTCCACAGAGCCCTCCCAATGAGTGGGTTCATAATGAGAGTTCCTGGGGGTAAACACTAGATTGGGTTCAACAAACGGTTCTGTGCACACTCCGATCCATTCTGGGTGATTTGTACTTGGGAGCATTTAAAAAAAAAAATGCAAGGGAAATTATCTATGGCTGGTGATTGTTTCAAGGAGGAACTTGGCTCATGACCACTCCCTCTATCACTATTTCCATTGTTCTTGATATGTGAAGTACGGCTTTCTGAAGCTGAGAGCTCCTTTGATCCATGGATGCTCTACACATAATTTGGAACTCTTAGGGCTGGCATAAGGAAGGTTGGAATCTACTAGTAGCTCTCTGTCTCGATGCTTATCCTTATTATTACCTGTTTCCCAAATCAGGCAGCCATTCTACATTGCCAAAACGTGAGAGAAGCTTTAGCCAGACTGCATATACTACAATTGGCTTATATACATAAACCCTTAAAAGATGTGGTGCCCAATGTATTTGAAAGATCAGTACTTGTTGAATTAAAAATAACCCCTTCTGAAATAAATGCCAGAAAAGTGATCCATTGATAGAGCAAAACCTGGTACTCTAATTCATTGTTCCATTTTTGTTCAAGACACTGTATATCATGCTAAATCACCAATCATTTCTTGTTGTTATGTGCCATCATGTCATCTCTGATTTATGGTGACCACCATGAATGAAAGTCCACCAAATGTCTTACCCGTGACAGCTCTGCTCAGCTCTTGCAAATTCGAGGCTTCCTTATGGCTTCAGTCCATCTCATATTTGCTCTTTCCATCTTCTGCTGTTGACTTTCCCTAGTGTGATTGTCTTCGTGAGAGAGTCTTGCTTTCTCATGATGTGTCCAGAGTATGACAGCCTCTGTTTTGTCATATTTGTTTATTTATTCACATATTTATATGCTGCCTATAACTGCCAAAGGCCTTTCTAGGTGGCTTACAAGTAACAACGACAATTTTTGTTCTGACAGAAAGCTCTGGCTTGTTAGTCTTTCTGCTGGTCCAGGGCATTAGTAAAGGTTTCCACCAGCACCATATTTTGAACACATCAATTTTCTTCCTGTCAGCTTTCTTCACTGTCCAGCTTTCATATCCATGCATAACTATTGGGAAGACAATAGTATGGATGGTCTTGGTCGCGGTTGCAGGCTCCAGTGAAACATCCTCACACTTGATGATCTTTTCTAGTTCCTTCATTGCGGCCCTTCCGTGTCTCAGTCTTCTTCAAATTTCTTGGCTGCTGTCTCCCTCTGAATTGATGACTGAACTGAGGTATGTAATTTTTTTCAAGTTTTTCACTGTTGACGTTAAAGTCATGTAATTTTTCTGTAGTCATTATTTTTCTTTTTTTAATGTTCAGCTGCAGCCTGGCTTTTGTGCTTTCTTTTTTCACGTTCGTCAGGAATTGTTTTAATGTATTCCTGCTTTCTGCCAGTTTACAGTGTCACTTGCATCTCTTTAGTTATTGATGCATCTTCCATCAGTGTTCACTCCTCCCTTTGATGCTAGTTCTGTGTTCCTTATCATGTGTTCTGTCTAGAGATTGAACAGGTACAGAGATAAAATACATGCTTGTCCAGTGCCTTGTTTATAGGAAAACGTCCTGCTGAGGCACACCCATTTCATGCAGGACCAGCCATAGCTTCTTGTGATTCGCAGAGTCAAAGGCTTTGCTGTAGTCCATAAAACATAGATCAATCTTTTTCTCAGATTCTTTGGTGCACTCCAGTAGACAACATGCATTTGCAATATTATCTTGGGCACTTCTTCCTTTGTGGAATCCATTTTGAACATCTGGCATTTCTTGCTCCCTTTAAGATCGTATTTTTTGTTGCAACACTTTGACTGTCATATTATTTGCATGGGAAATTAGAGCAATGGTCCTATGGTCGCTGTCTTCTTGCGCATCTCCCTTCTTGGGGATTGGAATGTGTGTTGAACATTTCCAGTCTGTGGATCATTGTTTTGTTTTTCATACTTTTCAGCACAGTCTTGTCAGCCTTTGGATAGATTCATTTTCTGCAGCTTGGCATAGTTCTGCTGGTATCCTATCTACTCTGCATGCTTTATTTCTTCCCCGTGTTCTCGGAGCAGCTTTCACTTCACTTTCTTATACTATAGCCTCTTCCTCATGGTAATTTATCAATGTGGATTATGAGGGTTCAGCCTCAAATACTTCCAATATACACAGGGGCTCTGCAGCTGTAAAAGCAGCAGGCCAAAACTAGAATCTAACAGATATTTCAGCTGCACGTATTGGCATTTGATGCTAGCTGGCAAATCATATTTAACCAGCAAAGCAAAAAGTCATCTTCTGAAGCTACAAAATGATTCAATGTAAAAACTGTCCTGTCATTCCAAGTTCACCAGAGAAATGTTTTCTTGCCAATCATTGAATCTGGACTTCTATTGCATTTATATTCTGCCTTTTTTCCTAGAAAGAACGCAAAACTGTTTATGTAATCTTCTTCTCCCTATCCATTTTATCCTCCAAGAACCCTGAACTGGGCTGAGAAGCAATGACTGCTCCAAAGTCACTGGAGTGAGCTTCATGGTGGAGTAAGGACTTGAACCTGTATCTTCCAAGGCCCATTGCAACACTCTGTGACTCTGAGCACAACATCACACACTGATTGTGTTTACTGGGATTATTTGTGCTGTGGTGTATTTTTCACCACATTTACACTTGGTCTAGTATCAGTATATGGCCACATTTAAGAAACTGAACAGAAGAGAAGGCTGCACACTTGCCTTTGTAAGAAGGGCAAAGCTAGAAGGGAATCAGGACTGAAGTCTATTCATCACTTCTCTTTCTGTCCCCCATTCCAAGGAGATTAGCAGTGTAAGTCTAGGCAGCACTAATAATATCTTAATTGATCCAGGAATGCAGCCTATTCAAAGTGGTGTGTAAGTTGTTGTATATGCTTTATTTAATGACACATTATTGAGTTATATAAGGGATAGTAAGAATCTATCAGCTAGCTTGCTGTGGCTATTATTCAACTGGTAAATAAATAGTCTTGGGGCTAAACATAATCTATTTCTAATACATTAATTCTAAAGCACTTTTCTATTTCTGCTTCTGCAAGGATCAATTTTTCATACATTTTAAAGTAATTGTGTTACCCTTTCCTTTCCAGTAAAAAAAGAAATATATTAGGCACATAAAAAGGGAGTCGCTCCTTTGTGTCTAGTATAATTATTTAAATTCTTTGCCTTCTGATGATTTTTGAGGAGTCTGTATTAGTTCAAAGTATACATCATTCATTCATTTTAGAAACAGTCTCATGTTAAAGCCACTTAGAGCAAAAAGAAGTAGATAATGAGTTTTTTTCCAAAGATTTTGAGAAATTTGAAATCATACTACAGTGGAGCACAAATCCCAGTTAATCTGAACTTCATGTATCCACATCTGATTGCTGAAGCTCTTTTCATGCAGTTTCATGTCTATATAACTGTGAGAAAACTTCTGATATTCTAGATATTTTGGGTCTTGTCTGGATTGCTTTATAAATGAAACTCTTACGCACTGAAATTTCTGTCATTCCCTCACTGATTTAAAAACACAGTTGAAAAGAATTGCTTTTTTAAACAGTAAAAAAGTATGTTATCTAGAGAGATACACTTGTATTTTCCCTAGTTATGTTTTGTTGTTATGGCAGGGGTTAACTGCATCATATTCTACTTCAGCATCTGCAGTATCTGGATTAGGGGGTTGATCCAAAAAGAAACTGAGTAACTTATATATTCAAGCTGAATCAATGTAGGTTAAATAGTCAATCCACTGTCTGGTTGTGTTTGGCAGATGTTTATTGAACAAAATAAGCTGAAAAGGCAGAGTCAGCTTCTGCTGCAAAACTCTACCCCAGATGAACAACTTTTGAAAGCTTTGGATGAAAATGCCAAGCTGAACCAAATCCTAGATGAAGAAAGGTTGCAACACAAGCAAAGGGTGAGTTTTCATTGGCTAGGTTATGTTTTGTTTTTGTCAAAGCAGGTATTCTCATGCAGAAGAATATTTGGGTTGTAAGTTACCAAGTCCCTGCACTGTACAATGAGAATAAACTTAGCTTTTCTTTACAAATATAATTTAAAATATATAATAAATATATACTTTAAAAGAATAGAAAATGAAAGGCTGCTAACTATGTCTGGTGAACTACTCCTCCTCTTTTTAAAGAATAGGATTTCAGATACATGACTGGACACAATCCTTGGTTCATAAGGCTGCATCACCAGTTGTGCAGGCCCATTTTTCAGTAAGAGTTAGAGTCTAAGTGGCGTTACCTTTGAAGAGGCTTGTGAAGCCAAATGTGGGCTTGGAATAGAAGCTGGCTTAACTTGCATGCCATCTAAAATTAATACTTCAAATTTTGGGTAAAGGACCAAGTGTGCCAGCTGTAGTATAATTCCCAGGCAGTCTCCATTCCTTGGCCTTCTCCCATCCAGAAACTAACCAGACTGACATTAGGTACAATCAAACTCTGTTGTAGTTGGGTTATATCTGTGGATGTGAAAAAACAACCTGAGGACCTCCAATAAACCATCACAGGTATCAAGCTGGCCTTTAGAAGGGGAAGGTAGCCTTTGGGAAGTTCTTCAGATAAATAGGAACATTGCTCCCTTGGCTTTATGCGAGAAAGTATAATGAAGAGTTATACACTATATAACAAAGGAATGGGGATTTTAAAAACTACAAGACTAGAAGTAATATTTTAGTTGTTAGCAATGGAAAGTGAATGATATTTAAAATAAAGCAATGTTAAGGAATAGCAAAAAGAAAGCAGTAATCATTTTTAAATGTGTGTGCGTGTGTGTGCTGGGAGTAATTGCCAGCTTCAGGAAAAGGATTGTTTTCCAAATTCGCACAAATTGTGTATATTAAAGGGCACAAAGGTCTTTATTCTAGTGTGTCTCAGCATTTCAACTGGAGTATTCTATAATACACCCATTGCAAACAGCAGGGGTTAAGGAAAGAGTGTGCATGTAAATAATAACCTTTAACAAATGCAGCTATTTAATAACTTATATTAGTGTTTCATTGCTTGAGGTTTTTTTAAAAAACAAGAAAATGTGTTCTTTTCCTTTAAAAAAATCCCTTTAAAACATTTAGGCACCTCAGTTCTGGAAATGTTCATATAAAATAATCATCATCCAAACAACATTGATTTTGATTACAAGCTAAAAGATGAGACTGTCATGCCTTTGAAAGGGGGGAGTGTTTTAAACTGCAGTTTATGTGCTGTGATAGGCCATTTGTGTCAATCTTGGATTGAATTATAAAAATGAATGAATTTTGGCATTTAAGCAATGAAGATACGCCTCAGCAACTTAACATTCTGAGGGTTAAAGTAGTCCACAGTTCTCAGTGGGAGAGGTGAGCAACGCTATAACCAGGAAGCTGGAGAGCGCAACACGTCCAATTATAGCTTCAGAACAGATTCCGGTAACATCTGCAGAATCCCAGGAATGTGATTTTCCTATTAAACAAGAATAATGTTTCTAGTTCAGCCTTCAGCAGTCTGGTGATCTTGCCTACTTTTGTTTTGTGCTACATTTCATGAGCCTGAGCCATCATAACCAGAGTTTACATGTTGTGATCTATATTCCAGAACATCTGGAGGCTACCAGGTTGGAGAAGGCTGCCATAGTCCATAATGTATAGGCAGTTTCTGTGGACTAGATGAATATTCCAATGGAGGCTTCTCTGCCTTTTCAAATAGCAGCTCCATGGAGGCTGTTTTCATTAGCAACACAGCAGCAAAGGAAAGGGTTAAACTCCCCCCCACCCCCAGTAGAGATTCATATTCCCACCAGTTGCCATTTATATTTTTAACAAACCTGCATATTAACTTCTTCCTCATAGTTACCTTCATGTCTAATTTGGCTGTAAGCTTTAGGAAATAGTATATCTTTCTTCAACACATGCTTTGACATGCTCCCTAATTCTTTTAAGTATGATACATCTGTGAGACTGTGTTACAATTTTAATTAGTTTTTTTGTTGTTGCAAATCATTCTGGAATCTTTTAAAAAGAACAGCGTATTTTAAATAAATAACATGTTGGTTGGTTTTCCTGGTTGCCATTGCAATGGTCCATGCACAGTCCCTGTTATTCTAAATAAAATGGTTTCAAATTAAAAATATCCTTTAATTCTATAGTCAGAATGAAGCAGAACACTGCTTTAATTAGACAAGACTGTTCATATTAAAAATGTGTTTGGTTTCTGACTCTAGATATTGTGTTGTGAAATTAGGGAACCCTATTGCTTATGGGAAAAAACCCGGAAATCTTTAAAGGTGCTTGCAGCATCCATGAGCCTTAGGAATAATGAGTGAAATTCAGTATGGTGGAATGGTGGTCCATTTGCACACACAGTTTTCTTCTCCTCCCCACCTCTGCTTCTTCACTGCACTCCCAAAGTTGAGGTGCTACAGGGGCAGTCCCTTCTTCCCTGTTCCACTGAACTAAGCCATTCCATAAAGCCATTAGAAGGACTAATTATATATCATCAACAGTTTTTAAATAGGATTAGTAATTCAGAGCTTCCTCATTTCTTGCATTTCCTTTTAACATAAACCACTAGTTGTTGAATGAATGAAGAATTCTGTTAGTGTAAGGATCTGTACCATATTAGTGGATTTTGAGAAACCATTAGTGTAACTCTCTTGTGATTGTTTCCTTGTTAAATTGATGAATAGGACAAAAGAGAACGTCAATATATTGCAATGCTGTATTTCCAAAAACAGGTTGAAGAATTGGAAGCACGGTTAGCCGATGAAGTCTTGCATAAGGAAATAAAATCTCTTAAACAGCAAGTTGAACTTCTAGAAGAAGATAAAAAAGAATTAGAAGAAAAGTATCAGAGTGCTGAAGAACAAGCTAAAAACTTGAAGCAATCAGGTGAAATACGCTAAATCTGATACCTTAGTTTTCCTGTCACAGACTTAATAGAAGTAGATTTGGGATCATTGAAATCAAGCTGAATACATTGCATCACTCTTAGTTGCTGCCATGTGTTTTTAAAATATGCAATTAAATGTTGCAACTGGAACTTCAGCCATCTGTTTTGACATTTGGGGCAGTATCCAACAGGGCCATTCTGCTCTGCTGGTTGTGTTGTGCTTGCAGGAGTGACTGCTCATGTACTGGAGCTTTCATGCTTCTGAAAAAAAGCCTGTCCATCTATTTCCAGATTGGGACAGCTCAGGAAAGCCTTCTCTTATTTTTCTTGTTTTAAGTTATTTTTAGAAGCGCAGGCATCCTGTCATGGCACATGGTTGCTCCTACAAGCCCCTGAGCATACTCCCCACATGGTTGTATTCAGGTTAACTGTACTTAGCTTTCACTGCAAACAATGAGACTTAACTTCTCCCATTGATTTCAGTGGGCCCTCAGTACAGCTGATTTAGTCTGGATCTGATACTATATATTTCAAAATATAAGGGTGATTTATTTGTTTGTTTAACATTATTTTGGGGCTGCCTTTAAGACTATAACTGTATCCTTTGAAGGGGACTTACTGCGCTTTTTGAAACGGGAACACTAACCAATGCAAAAGTTATGGAAAGGTTGAAAAGGTTCACACAGATATTCTTGATACAGACTTGTATTCCCAGAAATTAATTAGCTTTATACAGTGAGTAGAAAAGGAAGAAACGATTCTCCTGTACAGGTGAAGTTTTTGTTCCCCCATGTGTTATGCTCTCTTATGTGAGTGACATTTTAAAAAGTAAATGCTGTGTTGGTGACGATGTGGAGGGAATTAGCTTTGCAACTCCCATGGGTGTTAATGGCTAAAATCCATGGGAGTTGTATGGCTAATTCTCTGCACATCAGGCTAAACATTTACCCCTCACTATCTGACTGTAGAAACTGTCTGACTTGCTGGCTATTATTTGTCCAGTTTATAGGCTCAAGCAAGACATCAGGAACACTGACAAAACCACTTAGAATACATACAGTATGGATCAACTACTGTAATTTAGTTGTTACCAAAGACTTATTTGCCAGGATGGTGCCTGACCAGCTTACAGCATCGTACCTATTAAGTGCTAAAAACTGTAATTTACTACTCTTTATCTAAGATTGCCATTTCTTAATAAATTCAAAATACAGTTACCAGCAGGGGAAGTACTGTTTAACTATCCTAAAGCAGCTGGATTATGTGGATGGAAAATGTCAAAAGAAAAACATACTAATGCCTTTGTGCAAGGCCCTAAAACTGTTTTACAGTGTTGTGTGTTAAATTAATCACAGGCTTGTAGAGTGACTGGAAAACCTATGGAAATTACCAAGGAACCTCACTCAGGGACCACTATAGGGCATGAAATAAATTACCTGAGTATGTGTATTGACTACATTTCAATTTGATGCCGTTCTTTAATGGCTGCTACATTCACCTATTGCCTGAACAGTGAAAGGAACGGTTGTTTACTTTTAAAAAAGTGAGCAGATGGAACCAAAAACTGAGTCTTCTTGAAGTTTGAGGTGGCAGTCCACTGAAATGAATCTTTAAAAAACCGAATAGAACCAATAACCTGTGCAAAAGCATTTATTTTTAAGAGCTAAAGCTGGTGGTTCTGCTTTGCTGTTGTTGGATAGCCTAGATTTATCTCTAAAGTCAGCACAGGGCCTCCACACCCAAAGCATAGGATGATATAGAAGTATGAACTGGCATAACAAAATTAGACCCATGAACATTAAAATTAAGGAATATTGCTTCTGTGAAATCCATAGTTTTTCATTTCATTTCAAGGATGCTGAGCTGACAATAAATTATTTCTGTCCGTCCTAATTGTTATCCCATAATTGAATATGCATCAGCCCTGCATCGAACAGGCATTTCTTAAAAACTATATAGTTAAAAATTTTAGTCCACAAAATTAAGCAGAAATCTGTTTTATTAGCAAGAGATGCTTTTAAATGCATGCTACCATGTTTAAATAGTTGCTAGAAAATTAACTGCAAAACTTCTAGACTCTGATACATGAAGACTTTCAGAAGAAATTTTTGGCATCCAGCTTTGGTAACCATTTTGCCATTGCTTTTGTCCTTGAACTTGCATAGATAAATACTTGTTTACTTGGTTAGTTAAACAATCACTGAGAGTGGCAAATGGCAGCATCACTTCATCCAAAAACAATGTATACCAAACATACATACATACATATACAGGCTTCTCTGGGTTTGTCTGCTTTTAATAAGGTGTTTTTTCCTGTATAGGATAATTAGAAACCTTTGGCACCATAACTGGTTCTGACAAACTGACCAGCAGTGAATTAGTGTAGGAAAATATGCCAGCCAATATAACACCTTCATGGCTTGTTTGGTATTGAATCACTTGTATGTTAAGGAAGTAGCTTTTCATTTCAATAAATTTGTGTGTGCCTAATTCCAAAGTACATGGAATTGGGTAAACTGAATTCTGACTCGGTTCTGTCTTTTTTTTTTTTTTTTTTACAGTTGATGAACTTCAAAAAAGAATACACCAATCGGAAAACCCAGTTCCCCCTCCTCCTCCACCACCTCCGCTTCCTCCACCTCCTCCAAATCCAATAAGGTAAGTCCTTTATCTACTGAAACTTTAGGCTTTTTGCTTAGGCAACATCTCTCCTCTTTTGGGGTTAAGTTTACGCATATCAAGAAGGAGTTTGGGTTTGTTAGTACAACACAGAGAATTAATATTGCGCTAAAAGAAGTAAAGTTCAGTTTAAAATCTTGGGTTAGACCCAGGATCTCTTGAGGACTGGAAGGCTTTACACAGGGATGAAAATAAAACTGCAGAACCTTATTCCGCAATCTCCCTCAGTCCTCCATGAAACAGCTGGGAGGCAGAGTGGCTGCTCTAGGGACGAGGAAGAAGCTGGGAGGTCTACTTCTGCCCTCCCAGTTGCACGTGCCTAAATGTTTTCCTGTGCCTGCCATTGGAGGGCTTGCATTCCAATGGTTTGCTGGCCCAATACAAAAAGTTAGAGTCAAAGATAAAAGCAGTGGGGTTAAAACTGGAAAGTGTATCTGCCTATCTTAGCTTTAATCTCTTTCCACTGGTAACTAAGGCTTAGGAAAGCCATTTCAGTGTTTGAAGGGAAAACTGTGCAATGGCCAGGAAACCATTAAGTATCCAGAGGTTGGGAAATTGAGTGGGATGTGATCATGGGGAACTCCAGTGAGCGAGATTGGAAGTCCAAGTGTGTCCGAATTGGTCCTTGGGCCCAAGGCTTCCCACAACAGTCTTAGCTAATAAAATAGGCAAGTCTGCTATATTGTTATAAACTATAAAGGATCTACATTAAAAAGCAATAGTTGACAAAAAATCAGAACTCATTTTTAGAATTTCCAGAAAAAATGCAGCATGGAATCCAGCAAGCATAGTTTTGACTCACTCTGAACTAAATATCCCTTATCCACAATTTGCTTATATATTATGGGAACTTTCCTGAAAGTGGATCCAAGGATCCTGCATTTAGGATGCCAGGCAGGGATGAAACATAGGTCAGCTACTCAGAAGAGTATACATGTTTACCTCTTAGAAGGAAAGGTGGGTTAGGTGGCGGTGGAACAAAAAAGGTCAAACATCAGTTTACAGATTATATATAATTTCTGCAGTTGAACCTAGCTCCCCTTGACAGTCAAATAGGCAATACAGAAATATGTACCCAGAACATATCATAAGGAAAGCTGAATCAGAGGAAGGAGTGAAAATTGGTGGAAGACACATCAATAATTTTAGATACGCAGATGACACCATATTCTAGCAGAAAGACCAATGAAAAAAGTAGGATTCAGCTAAATATTAAGAAATCAAAACCATGTCCATGGAAGAATAATACAGCTTTTAATGCCCACAATGAAGAACTTGAAATCCTGAAAGATTTTGCATAGCTCATCTCAGTCATCAATTCAAAGGCAGTCTGCAGTCAAGAAAGAAGATGAAGACAATGAAGATGACGACTGAGACTTGGAAGGGCAACAATAAAGGAAATAGAAAAGATTTTCAAGTGTAAGGAAGTTTCACTGGAGACCAAGACTATCAATACTGTTATATTCCTAATCACAATGTAGGGATATAAAACCTGGACAGTGAAGAAAATTGATGTGTTCAAAACATGGTACCAGAGGAGCACTTTGTGAATATGCTGGGCTGAAAGAAAGACAGATAAGTAGGTCCCAGATCAAATCAAGCCAGAACTTTTGCTCAGAGTAAAAAGGACAAAATGGAGGCTGTCATACTACCGCCGTATCAGAAGGTAAGCCTCCCTCGAGAAGATAATCGTGCTAGGGAAAGTCTCAGGTAGAAGAAAAGGGAGACCAAATATTGACTGAATCCATAAAGAAAGCCTTGAATTTACAAGAGCTAAGAAGGCTGCCACCAACAGTACATTTTGGAGAGCTTTCATTCATGGGGTCACCATAAGTCAGGGACAACTTGCTAGCAAAGGGATACTCTTAAGATATAGCCATTAGAAATTGCCATCAAGAAGCCTTTGTCCCAGAATATCAACATTATAGTAGGGGTTTATGAGGCTAAAGATGTTGTATGAATCTACACCCATCAAAACTTGATAGTTGTCTGCTGTGTGTATGTAACATTCAACCCAATCTACAGTCCTTTTGTGCACTGAAATCTAATTACAATGTTTCTGCTTGCGAATCCTGGACTGCAAACTAATTACAGGGTACATTAGCAGCTAATGGATCTTTCTGAGATTTGAGCTCTTTGTCTCATACACGTATTTGAATTAATAGTTTAGATCTCAGAAGACCTTGCTCAGTCTAATTTTGTGGTACTTACTCGCCTTCTTGTATTTGGATATGATGAACAGGCCTTATAGAAATCCTTAAGAAATCAGCTAGTTCCAATTACTGGATTTAGTGTTTAGTCATGAAAAACAGGAAAGGCTTTAGCTGAATTTTATTAATAAAGCTCCACAAATACGATTTCCAGGTGCTATTAGTGGTGACTCCCTGTACACCTCTGACTGTTGCTGTCCTGGTTAGCCCAAAGATTGCCCCTGAGTTCTCCCCAAATTGCTCAAGAACTCAGATGATGAATATCTTTCATTTGACAGGACTTTGGGACAGCAAGGGAGAATAGCTGCCCCAAGCCCTGCACAGAGACCCAAATCCAGTCTTCTCCTGAGTTTTGTTGTGCATGAACCAAAGTGGAGCGGTTAGCAGTGACCACAAATAATCACTGGATACTATGCCAAGTCAAACATTTAAAGATGTCTCATTTATTTAAAAATTGCATATACAGATAAGCCCATATGGATTTTCTCCCCTTAGAAAAAAGTTCTAAAAATGGGGGAAACACAGGTTGTAACAAAAAGGAACATTTAAAGGTACACATCATCTTAAAACTTATTGTTAAAAATAGTGAAACTTTTAAAAACCCTTTAACTTATTGTTAAAAGTACTTTTCAACAAATTTATCAGTTTATAAGGCAAGTACACATGATCTTAACAGAACTTGGCCTGATTCATTCACATAAAAGCTCTGTTTGTAAGTTTATTGTTCTGTCTTCCTTTACTTCATGTGACTTGCCTAATCTTTTTACACAACCCAACTACTTTATGTTCTTCCTGTGCAATTTTGAAGAAAAGAGTTGCTCAGTTAACACTTCACATGCCGTGGCTCCTGTAGGCTCATTTATCTCTCTCAAAAGCCTTTCTGTGGCCTGGCAAGGCAGGGCTTGAATCCATTTTAAACCTATGAAGTGTTTATTGCAAAATAATATTCACATAGGACCTAAAGCCAGAAGGCGGCAAGCCATATGTTTGTGCTTTGAGGCACTGAATTCATGTTGCCATAACTTGTAATTTTTATTTAAAGTTGAATGTTCTTGTTTTAAATAATTTTGGTATAATCTTAGCTCAAGAATGTATCACTGGTTATGGAAGATTTCTGTAATTTTCTTACATCAACAAGTACAGTTATGATAACTTAGGAGAGTTTTTTTTTATAAGTGACTGATCAGTCTTATCCTTTTATATTTTTTGGAACATTTTACAAATTCCAGTGTATCTCCTGGTAGGGCACCACAAGGAGTTTTCATCCATGGTGGAAGCATTTTTTTAACATTACCATGCCACAGTTATTTCTTTTTTCTACCAGCTACTTTTAACAACAAATCAAATGCAAAAGGACAAACTAGATAACAATGTTTGTATAAAGTTTGGTGTTTAGTTACTATGCTGAGAACCAAGCAGATTTGGCAACTTTGCATGCTCCTAGGGACTGTATTGCTCCATCCTACCATCCCTTTCTCTTTGGTACCTTGTTGCTCATTTTCCCCATATTTTTCTAAGCTGCTTCCACTTTACTTGCCCTTCCTTTCTGTTTCCTTTTTTTGGTCTTCTGCTCATTTGGTCCTCTTTTTACTGGTCTATTAGTATGCACTCCTCTAAGGCATCTTTCCATTAATGTCTTTTCCCTTTCATGTTTTTGCCATTAAATCACTGATTCACTTGTCCTTTTCGTTTTTCAGCAGGTCTAAACAGAAGGATTTTGAAATACACTCCTTTATGGGTTTTTTTTGTGATACAGGGGGCTTCATAAGAAGGTTGTCTTCCAGTAACATCGGTGTCATTCTGCCCAATTTGTGGCTGAAACTCTTGCCTATGTGAAGAGTTGATCCAAACTAAAGCCGTCCCGTCCCGTCCCTTGACTCCACCCTCAGGAAAGTTAACACTGCTTGTGGAATAGATGGCAGGAATCAGACTACTCATTTAACTTGATGCTGGCTTACTGGGTTAATTAATTTGCACCCCTTCTCCTCAGACCCTTCCTCTTCTATAGCACCTTCCCCCAAACTTGAGGTAGTTTACTTCTCAGTGACTGACAGATCTCATTCAGTAATCTTGACATTTCTATGCCACATTCTAACCCATCATCTTCTCTATCTAATTCATATTCTGAATCTGAGCTTTCTAACTGGAAACGTTGGGTTTTGAGAGCTATTAACCCCGTATCTACATCTTAGACCCTGTTTGAGTTTTGGCTTCCAGCCTGATAGATGTTTTCCATAATTCCCAGAACCTGTGGCTCAAAGGGGTTTGCAGAGAGACAGTAGTTAGTAGCCAACTTTTAATCTGCTTATACTTGCAATTGGCCTTGCATAAACAACATGATTGGGGTGCAACAACTGAGGCAGCTAATAAAATATATAACTAACAAAAGCAGTGCTATTTAGTGAAACTTTATTTTTAAATGGAAGCCCACATTATTTAGATGTACATACATAATTTGTATGTTGTATTTGAAAAGTGTGCATCTAGATGGAAAGCTGCTAGCATTGCTAGTTAAAATGCTCTCTCTGTGTATGTGTGCACATGTGTGGGTGGTGGAAAGAAAAGATAGAAGAAGCTATAGGGAAACACAGAAATATTTACAGTGGATGAGAATGGCATCTGAACATCTCATAAGATTTTGTGAATGATTTGGGGCAATTGCATGAATAATCCAAGGAATTGATATTATTTTTCACAAACACTGTTTACATGAGTGGAGTTGCAAGTTCTTGCTGATTTGCTGTACATTATTATCTCTCTACAAGTTTCTGCATCTGTTGCAGGACATTTGATTCCTTGATAAAACATTCCTATGATAATTTGGAAGCAAAATCTTGGAGAAGAGATAAAACATACCTGTACTGCATTTCATCTCTAAAAGTTGGTTTCCAACAGTAACATACCAGTACAATTAAAAAGCAAATCAAAAGCCAACATGAAACATATAAATAAAATTGTAACTAGATAAAATCAAAACACATTTTAAGCTTGGAATGATAAAAAAAAGTCAAGCAGCCGCCTAAAGAATAACCGACTGGTCTAGGGGTTCCAGTATCAAGGCAGTGCTGTATGTTCTGAGCCCTCACAGCATAATGCTTATTCCTGGTCAATAGCACATCCATTGTATTACACTTCTTATGTGGAAGCATGCAAATCTATCAGATATCTTTTGTGGTATTATTCAAAGTGATAAATGCAATCTATCCTTGTCATCAAACCTTTACAATTCAGAAAACATTAAAATATTTTCCAGGGGCTGAGAGCTTCTGCACTGAACAATTAAGTATCATCTATTTAACCCAGTAGTTATTATTTTCCATTCAAACTAACGATGTGCTGCAAATGGCTGACATAAGTATGTGTCAGTTGGACTAATATTTTGGTGGATTCATTTATAATGCTGGGAAGAACTTTAGATTCAAAAGTGAAAGCGGGGAAGAGCAACACTACATTCGCACTGCCCAGCAATTGTGTTAAGTGTTAGGTTGCTTAGAGGGTCTGGTGCAGGAAGTTAATTTGAGGGCTACGTGCAAAAAAAGCTAGTTTTCTTTACAAAGACTGAGGAACAGAGAGATGGCTATTTCTCCCTGCCTGTGGTACAGGGAAAAGATACTGCACTATTGCCACTGGGCTGGGGCTTGGTGGAGTATTGTTCAAAGGTTGAAATATAGTTGGAGCACATTTAGACTAATCATTTAATGTGGAGAACAAAAATTGGTCAATTTCAATTTAATGAGCGTGCAACCTGTCATACAGGTTAGGCTTTATGCTTTAGAGAATTCTCACAGCTTTAAAATGTGCTTATCCTCTAAATGTTGCAAGCAGTTGTTGTTTCAAGTTCACTGAATTTCTTTATTCATTTCCCTGTTATTTAACATTCTGAAAGGATGCCCAAGGCATCCTGGAATGCATGCATAATAACAACTTTTTTCCTTCCTTGTAGGAATTTTAAAAGCTTTTTGTAAAAAGAAAAAGAAAGAAATGACAACAAACACCTCATATTTAGTTAAATATTGACTTGGCAGTGCTTGTTTAAAATTAATATCATGCTTTGCAGATTGAACGGAAAGCATAGATACTGTGAGGGGTTTTATTTTCTGTTCTCATTTTGTTTGTTTACCAGAAGACCTATTCTAGCAAATACATACTGTAGAAATGAGGGGACAATATAGAGGCACCCTGCAGAGTAACATTGTTCTCTGGAGAGTAATGCGTCACGTTAACATTTCTAAACCTTCAATTTTTTATTGTGTGAGAAGGCTTTATTTTGTCACACATGTCACAATGCCATGGTACCTTTTAATATTCAGATCTTGAGTGTTTTGCACTATGCCTTGTCAACAGAAATTGCAAAATAAATAATACATTGGGTGTATTTTTAGGAGGTGTGACATTTTCTGTCTCTGCCTGGCAATGTTTGAACACTCTTGTCAATGAGAGAGCTCGCTGTTCATCGCTTAACAGCATCTCTTTTCACAATGCACATCATATCAACAGGCCCCGATCCTAGAAGTGTTTTACACCTTATATGAAAAGGACTAAGGCAGTTATGGGCCCTAAAGCTAGCTCTCAAAGAACAGGTGTTATGTTCCAGAGAAAACAGAGTGACTCTCTCCATCTTCACTTTGTGAAAGGTCGTTAATGTCAATGATTCGTAAGAAGTCTCATCCAAACAGCAGTTTGACCAAGAAAGAAAAGGTGTCTCTGCAAGAATCAGGTACAGTTTATTTTCCTGCTGGTAAAAGGAATTATTTTGTCAGAGCAGTCACAGCTTGGCATTGTCTAGGCATTTCCTTTAAGTAAACAAAGATTCCATTTTAAGAACCATCCCTGTTGACTAAAAATCTGTTTAGCAAACACCAATGGAGATGTTTACTTTCTGTGAATAACTGTGCAGCAGAGTCTGATCTGGGTGTAAAGACTCCATCCTATAAAAGACAAATGCTTCTAGGTAGGTGGGGATCTGTAATATACTTAACTCAAGTTTTTGTTCATTGTTATGCAAAGTGCTTATTCATTATGATATGATGAAAGACCCTGTATATATAACATTGTGTTCCAAACCGTCACCTGTCCATTGAAACTGTGTGTTAAAATAGAACATAGAAACCCTGATTGGTAGTGCAGTACCTGTGGATGCTAGGATACCTCCATAAGGTTGCCAAAGCATCAGCTAGGTTATCTGCTCTCCTCCACACCAGATTACTTGCCTTTAAAGAGTACGTACAGGTTCACACGGACTGCACAGTTCCTCTGCCTGCTTGCTATACTTACTGAAACTTCACTACACACACCCACTTCCATTCTGACTGATGAACAGCAAGATTTCTTGGAGGGAAGAGAGAAGGACCAGTGGTGGATCAACATGCTGGTGTGTTGCAGGAAAGATTATAGGGCCCCAAAGGTTGTGGCTTAGAGTCTGCTAGATGGTCTGAAAAATAACTTTAAAACAAAATTAAGATAATGTGTGCGTGGTTCAAGATGTATGTTTGTGTTGTGTGTGTTGCAAGAGCTGCCATTTGATCTAGTTTTTGTAATTAGACATGGCATGCTCTTGTTGGTCATTAACCAGTGAAAGTGTATGCTTCCTCCTCTTTACAGGAAAATAAGTTTTCCAATTTAAAGAGATGGTCTTTTTAAAGCCTAACTTTAAACAGGTGCACAATAAATTTATTGATCAGATGTATACTTTGCCTTTCTGCCAAAAAATGGCAGTTGTGGTGACTTGCATACATAGTTAAAATGTATTAAAGTATAAATGATGTGTGTAAACCACTTTGACTGCCAATTTTTAGAAGAAGGGCAAATACAAAAGATAAAATTAAAATATAGACTAGGTTAGGCAGCCTTTTGGGGTTTGGGGCAAATTTGAGAAACTGCCTCAGGCTCCACCACAAAATGGGAGCTGTGCCAAAGAATAAGTCACCTCCTAAAAGATGAAATACAATACCCAGATGAGGCCAAGTCCAAATACATTAGCCATTTCTTTTGAAGCTATAGTTTTTAGCATCAAGAGATAATCTCCATCACAACAATCCCAGTTCCTGGTCAAGAAAAAAAATGTGTTAACTAAAAAAGTAGAAGGAATAGAGTGCCATAGTGGGCACCAAAACTGGTATACAGGATCACATCAGTGTCCACATGGTTCGTGTTACTTCTCTTGAGTATATACTAATACTTTTCTGTAGATGGCTAGTAATGAAGCAGATATAAATAGCACAGACCGGAATTCCATATGCCCCATTTAATTAATTCACTTGATTTAATTCAGTGGCTTTCCTCACCACCACTAGAACATCAACATGTTCTTATGAAGTTTTTTTGCATTCTTTTGAGAAGGGGCTTTTATTTTTTCTTAAGGTGTGAACATTTTACCTTTTTCATGTCAGGGACATGTTCTGATAATTCTCTACCTCATATTTCTAATGTGCAAAACACTTGATGATCACTGTCATATTCATGCTCATAACAGCATGTTAAGAATGTTGTTTACGGTCTGCAAGTGGGGATCTGAAGTGCTGTTGTTTTTCAAAGCTAACCAGTGAGTCCGTTGGTGTGTTGTCAAAGGCTTTATCCCCTCAACAGCACTCTGTCTTCAATATTTAGGGGCTTTTGTTTCCTTGCACAACTCAAGGTCATGTTACACTATTTAATACTTGGAACCCTTTATATTTTACAAAATATACATAATATCAGAGCCTTGCACTCTGAAATAATTAATTCTGTGAATCTCACTGGTACTGTGTGCCTGCAGTCACTAAGGTGAATTAGAATCTCTGTGTCACTCATAACCATACACTAGAAGGCAGGGGAAATCTACTTTTTTCACTTCTCTTTAACCGCCATAAATGTAGTACAGTGAAGCAAGTAAAGGTGTGAGATAAGTGATCTTTCTATAATATTTCCTGAAGGGCTTTTCACAATCTGAGAGATGAAGCAGGAATCTCATATTGAGCATACCATTAATATACCAAGTTTAAATAGCATATATTATGCAGTTTTAACCTCATGTGTTTCCCAGTTGCAAGCTGTATTCTCTTGAAATGTAACCTGGAAGCACTGGAAGGCAGAGATTGGGGTTTAATGGATAAAATTGGTGTGGAACAGAAAGGGGGTTAAGCTTGTATTTTCATTTTGTTTGGATTTTGTAGGGGAAGAATATTTGGTATTGTGTTTGTTGCCTGTTTATTATAGCCGTTGGTTTAAAAAGTGGAGTTGGGCAATATTTATTTATTTTTGTGATTTTACACATATGAAGAATAGGGACAGTCCACAGGCTAAAACTAGCCAACATGTTTATGATTTCTAGAGTATAACCTTATATGTAATACCATTTATCTGAACTTCATTCTTATTGCTGTTTGTTTGGTCATCCGTGAAGCAGTGGATACATTTGCCATGTTGTCATAGGAATAGGAATGGAACATTCTAGATTTGCATTTTGAGATGGTCTAATTTAGTTGGTTAAATTTGTTTTACAGCAGGATAAACAAAACATTCAAAGCATTTATACAACATAAAGATAATGTGAAATAATGCAAGAACATTAAAAAGACTTGCAAGCAGAATGCAAAAGGATTCATTATTTAGTAGAGTAGCTGGCTTATACTAAGATTTCCAAAAGCTAGCTATGGAATAATGTAAACTTTGGGGCTGTCTTAGGAAAACCCTTTGGTGTTTCATTTCCCCACCTTGTTCCTGCTAAGCCTAGACAGTAGCTCAACATTTATCACACATCAGTTTTCATCGCACTTGCCAAACTATACTTGCTTTCTCTTTCTGACTCATCTAACTGTGACTGAGTTCAGATAGCACAGTAACCCACACTCCAGGGCTGAGTATGGGCTATTGTTGAAACAGGGCTTATCATGTTGTTTGAACCAGGTTGAATTCGCAAACCTGGTGAAAAGCCAACATTCTGACCCAACCACAAGCCATGGATTGTTAGCACAGCTGGGTTCAGACAACACAATATCCCATGGTTCAACAGTTCAGTGACAACCCATACTTAATCCTGAGTATAGGTTGTGAAGCTATCTGATCCTAGCCTGTATGTTTTAAATGGTGTGGGTCCCTGCCCCACAGTTCAGTGTTCAAAATCTTCAGCTGGTACAGAATGCGCAGGAATGTGGAACAAATGACTGTTCTTATACCAGCATCACTGGCTGCTGATCTGGTTGAAGATGTTGATCAACTCCTTTAGGGACCCATGATGCTTATTGTTATCTGCGAAGCACAAAACTAAATACTTATATATGTATTTGGTTTTTATTTTAAAATTGCAATTGCAAGCCACTTTGGGAAGCTCATAACAGAGGTACAGTATATGAATGTTAATGCTGATGATCGGCAATCTAAGCAACATAGTAGTTTTGCCTTCAGTACCAAAGCTAGTACAAATCATAACATGAGTTGGGAAATTACAGTATGAGGCTTTCCCCTCACTCTTGCTTTCACCAGATTTCAGTAAAATGAAAGCAGAACAATACTTACAGGAGTAAGCTCTCTAACAGGAACCTTGACTATGTTTAATTTGACTGTTTGTACCAGGAGAAGTAACGGATCTGAAGAGACAAGCTGTGGAAGAAATGATGGATAGAATTAAAAAGGGAGTTCACCTTAGACCTGTTAATCAGTCCAACCGTTCTAAGACAAAGGTGTGTAGTTAGTAGCTTGCATATAAAAATGCGAAAGGGGGTGACTTTGTATCGAAGCTGACAGTATTTCATAGAACTGCATATATCTGCCCTATTCCTCTATTCCAGTTCTTTAAATTATTATTATTATAGTTCTGTGTCACCTTCTTTATTACAAGGAACTGAGGCAGATCACATAATTCTCCTGTCCTTTTCCATCTTATTATTACAACCACTTTGTGAAGTAGATGAGATTGGAAGTCAATGACTGGCCCAAAGTTACCCACTAATTTTCATAGCAAAGTGTAGATTAGAGCCTGGATCTCCTCCGTCCCAGTCAAGAATCTAACCATGATACCACATTTCCTCTGATATAATTACCTGGCCATATGATCCTTCCTACAAACAACTTAGTGCAAGTATACAGACCTCAGGCTGCTTAGAGATGCATAAAAAATAGTTTCAGGAAAAGGAATTGTCCAGGTTGTACCTTCCTGACTAAATATGCTGGTATTGGATACATTTTGTGGTCAGGTCCTTATGTTTCTGAGCTTGCAGTGTGATTCATAGACCAAAAGAATTGTGTTCAACAGCATGCACACATAGGAAAAATGTCCTTTAAAAATAAGCTTGAAATTGTACAGCAGTGCACTTGAATCAATAGTAGACTGTATATATTTTCAAGCTGTGCATAATTGCTGCATATATTTGAGAAATATGCACAAAATATGCACAGATTTTCATGTGAAAAGGAAAAATGCTCAGAATCTAATGCAGATAGCAAGCTTCAATCTAGGATTCAGGGAACTTTGATAAACTTGGATTTTGCTAATCCCTACTATATACTAATGATTTGTGTGGAAGGGCGTGGAGGCTAATTGGAGACCAGGTAGAACAAACCATCACTTCTTGATTTGGGAAAAAGAGTTTGGACCTTCCTCCTCCAACTATCTCAAATAACCTTTTCAGATGGTTCCCCATATGAGTTAGCCATTGACTAATTCAGAAGAAAGGGAATTGATTGTGTTAGGATGGGACAAAGAGAGGAACCAATTCACCCTGGATTCACTTCATCCTGTATTGCTACAGTTAGTAGAGTGTTACATGACTAAGCTAGAAGACTTCCAGCTCCCTGCCCCCTCTTTTAAAAGCCAAGATCTCCTGTGCATGCAGCAAGAGTGTCTTTTTTAATCCTACAAACCACTTCATGCTAATAAGATTCATCCCATTTATGTTACTCCAATCCAGTCTAGTGTTCTTCAAAATAAAGAGTTTATTGTAAAATCCCACTGTTTATCATTTTCCCCCACTAAAATGCATGCTCTTGAATGCTTTATTCAGCATCTGCAAAATCTGATTATCTAGTGTTTTGTTTTTAATTACAGCCAGAAGTACCCAAGCCTTCTGAGAATGCAGTGAAAGAGCTAAAGGGAATTCTGGTAAGAAGAAGGAGAAAAAACCCCTCTACTGTTTTTTTTTTTCCTTGAATCTTTCATGAAAATTACACTATTGGAATGAAGATGTGTGGACAGAGATACACACTGAGGAAGTTTTTCTTTTCCATTTTGTGAGCTTGTACAAGCTCTTTTGGAATAGAGAGTGACTATGTTCTTTCTTCCCGAGATCTCAGCCACATACTTGGATTGAATCTTGGTACCTGCTATAATAGCCTGTAACTTTCCCTTTGCAAATCTTTTCTCTAGTAGAACTAAAAGGTACACTTCATAAAACCAACTTCTAGTGCATTCACAAGGCTAGTCATTAGCACAGTGAGACAGAAAAAATAGGGTTGGGAGGCATATAGCTAAATACTTGTATGTATATTGTTACTGTGCTAATTACGCATTTCATGTAGACCTCCATATAATTGTTGTAAACAAAGTGATATTAATTTATTCAATTTCAAGCATGATGTAAAATAGCTTACTCTGTTTGGTTTGCTACTAGATCTGTAGCATGAGCATAATAGCAAGGAGTTACTTGTTAATAATATGACTGCTCTGTTAAATTCAAAACACTAACAAAATGCAGGATTAAATTTATTTAAAGGAAATGTTGGGAATTAAGTGCTGTTTTGCTGAAGTCAAAAGATGTGCCCATTTTAAGAACTATGTGCTGCATTTTTATTTTCTTTCTGGATGAAGCTACAGTTTTGTGCTACACCTACACCTTCTATGGGGAAGGAGATGTATTCTAAAAGGGGATAGGTTTAAAAAACTTAATATCATGGAATCATCAGATTACATCCTAAGATCTTGCCAAGGCTGTGAATTTGTCAAGAGCTATGGTCGTTTTATTTTCTAGCATCAATGAATGTTTGATGTTTTAGAACCCGGGATACCTTTTGTATTACCAAATACTGCTGCTATGTTTGAACTTCCTCATAGACTAGTTTGCTTATTAATAGACCAATTTCATTTCATTTGTATACCATCCAACTGGCAAATGCCACTGGGACAGTTGATCATCATTGTTGTCCTCCTCCCCCTTTTCCTTCTTCTCCTCTCTTTATTCATATGCTCTTTTTCCATGATAAACTATACTCAATGATATCAAGGGACCAAAAATAAATTACATTAGAACAACACAAGTATCAAAAATCATACAATATTAAACTTTCAAAAAGTAAAAAAATTGAAGAATCACAGTAAAACTAATAAAGCAGCAGATCAAAAGTTACATGACTTCTGAAAGAGGAAGGTCTTAAATTGGACCTAAATGTATACAATGAAGACGCCAGGCAAATCTCTCTGGGAAAAATATTTGATACATGGTGGCCACTGCAGAAAGGCTCCTTCCCTGGTAGTCCCCTGTCATACCATTGTGGGTAGCAGTACTCAGAGAACAGCCTCTGAAGATGATCTTAGCACTTAACCAGGGACAGAGAAGGCATTGCTTCAGTTTATCTGGTGCAAAGTTGCTGCAGCACTGGGCTACTATGTTCAAAACTGCCGCCTCCGGTAAGCATCTTCACTGGTTTGTACTGCACTAACTGAAGTTTCTGGGCCATCTGCAGACTTAGTCCCCATGGGTCAAAAAATCATATTGAACGGTCTTTGTTAGTAGCCTGGCAGCTCTATTTTGAATGAACAGAAGTCTGAGCAATTTTCAAGGATAGCGTGATATACAGAACATTGCAGCAGTTTAAGGAGGAGGAGGAGGAGGAGGAGGAGGCGATTTCTATCCTGCTCATAGCTGAAACTCTCTAGGTGGTTCACAACATTAAGTCATCCATCCAGATTTAAACCAGGTCTGACCCTGGTTAGCTTCCAAAATTAGGTGAATGAGGCATTTAGAGGTTAAAAAAGCATAGATAGCTGTTACCAGGTTATCTGTCCAGAAAGGTTTGCAATTGGCCTTATCAATCTGAGCTGATAAAAGGCTCTCCTAGCTAATACTGCCACCTGAGCTTCAATTGACAGTTAGATCTAGAAGCATGTTCCAGCTGCATGCTTGACTTCTCAAGGAGAATCCAGCCCCGTATAGCTCAAGTTCCTGTTCCAAAACCAAAGCACTTACATGCCCTAGGCACCTTGAGGAAACAAACTAATATTTTGATATACAGTATATCAACAGCCCCACTAATGCTTAACCAGGAATATTTGTAACATAATGCTTGTCTAATTTTAAAGGCACAGAATATAAACTTTTCCACAGACAGGGTAAAATCCCTTTGCTGCCAGCCAAAAGGTATGGCAGATGGAAATCATGTGAGCAACGAGGGAACCTACTCAGGAAAGGCAATGCAAACTTATTCTTGCAGAAGTATATGAATGACAACTGAATAGAAAATGTTGTAAAGTTTTGATAACACCTCTATCACAAGGGCAGAATTTCTGAGGGAAGCCAATATACTCACAGCAGCCTGACTGTTCTGCAAATGGTAAAGACAAGAAAAAGAGTTTACAAAAACACAGGATTGTGAAAAGGTAAAATAACTTGGCAGAACAGGAAAAAGATTCATTCTGTGATCCAAATTTTAGCACTAGGACTTGTAGCATAAACTGGTTTGCATTATCAAAGAAGCAGACCATCAATATATTCATTCAAATATTTTTAACCCACCTTTAAGTAAAACAATTGGCAAAGCAGCTAGCAGCAAAAATTAAAGCCATCCATTTAAAATAAATACAGTAATTAGAAACAACAGTAGCACCAAGACAGCAGCGCCAAGCTGTTCAAAGCCATTCTCTCCTTTCCTCTTTTCCTCTCCAGCAGATTTAGACGAGAACTCAGGAGTACAATCCTTTATTGAGCTTGACTGGTTACAGTACTGCATAGACCAAAGTGGTGTTCATCTTGGGATGTGGGAGAAGAATCTGCCCATGTAAATAACTGAATCCAAACAGAAACATGCCATCCTCCCCTCCTTTTCAGGAAGATTCTGATTCCACTCTCAGGTTCGCTCTTGCTGCTTAAAAGCCAGATGCTTGGAACACCGGATCCTTTGGAATTTATCCACTCATTTTGCCTGTCATATCCTCACTGAGTCAAGGAACTCCCCCTCCTCCCCCACCCCACCCCCACCCCACCCCCACCCCCCAGTTTTGAAATGTATCCCTCCTTTCCCAAGGCAGACTGGCTTTCATGTGGTGTCTGAGAATCTTCACGAAGTTTCCTTGAACTGCAACAGCATTTGCCCCCCTGCCTCCTCCTCAGAATCGGATAAATCTTTCTTAGCAGACTACACACCAAGGACTAAGCCCTCTGTCTATACAAACCACCAACAGATTTATATTATAAAAAATCACAAAAAATTAAAAGTTCAGGACACTAAAATAGTCTTCTTGTTGTCTCTTACATCTAAAAGGACAATTAGCTTGGTGAGAGTATTCCATTGTTTGGGTGCCACATTTGAAAAGGCATTCCTTTTGCCATCTACCTAACCTGGAGGAGTAACTTTGATGAAGAACTTAACCAAAAAGGCAGGTTCATAATCTACATTGCAGTTCTTCAGATATCCTGGGGCCAAAACCATAGAGAGTTTTACAGGTTAAAATCACAATTTATAATTGTGCCTGGGAACAAACTGGAGGCCAATGTGAACCTTTGTTAACACTAACAAGTTATGCTCTGAGTCAATAGATATGTTCCAGGCAAAAGTCTGAACCAATTAGAGTTTCCAGGTAGTTTCAAGAGCAGTCCCATCATAATTTGTGGCGGTAAACAAATCTAAATTGTATGCAGTAAAGCAAATTTTGATCTATAAAGCTATCTAATTGACCTTCTGATCATGTTTTTTCCAGGAAACTTTGAATACATCAGTAAGTTCAAGAAGCCTAAAATCCCTTGACACCTACAGTAATGAAACGGAATTAGAAAGAATTTTGCGGCTCCGAAAGGTGACAACTGATCAAGATAGTAGCAGTAAGTTACTATGATATTTGCAGAATCTGTAATTGAGTTGCATTGTATCCGTAGTGTTGTTTCAAAGGCCTAATTGCCTTGCTTTTTTATTTTACCTCTCATCAACTGAGGGACCCCTGATTGCTTTTTCAGCTGTTCTATATCCCCATGATAGCTAACTTTCTACCTCTAACCAGTATTAATTAATAAAACCAGAGCAGGCTACTTTCTACTCTGCTATGTTCTTTTCAGCTGGTATGTTCTTTCTCCAATTGATTCATAAGAAATGCACATAAATTAATAAATAAACCAACATCTGGATATCATGGGAATAGTAATAAATGTAACATAAAGCTTGTTAATGTAGCCCTATGACAGTTGGGCAGATGATTTAGAAGAGAATTGATCTTTAGATGATTTAGATAATTGATCTAAACATTTTTGTGTCATGCTGTTGAAAGGACCAGCTCCACCAAATACGTAGGCCTAAAATGGTCCTCAGAGTCCAAGGACTCTGCAGTACCTTGTTTGTTTGTTTCATTCCATTTCCATGCTGCCCCATAACTCGAAGGTTCTCTGAGTAGCTTACAAATGCTAAAGCAGTATAAAATACATACATAGAGTACAATAAAACAATTAACCTTCATCAAATTTTGTCATATTGCTTGGCACTAGAGAAATAGTCCTCTTGGTAGGGACCCCATATTTGTAGGTAGGACTCCCTACCAAGGATTATATCTCATGTTTATACACTTTAAAATGGGTTTTAAACCTCATTTGAACATCTATTTGTTTTCATCTGCTTTTAACTAAAGTGCTAGACTGACTAATTAACTGGTGAAATTGTTGCTCTTTGGGGTGTTGTTTTTAGTCTGTTTCATCCAAATCACTATGCTGGATTGTAGCTTGCTTTCAGCTGCGTAGTTCTAACAGGATTGTTTTTAATTGTTTTTATGAGTATCACTGGGCTTCACCCTCAAAGGTGGTAGCCTCAGTGACATGCTTCTGAATATAAATCGATTTGTACACACAGTGCCAGATAATGCAAATACTCAACTGTTTTGGTTTAGCTCCAACTGGAATCTTGGCTACTTCTGAATCCAAATCTATGCCAGTGTTGGGCTCCATTGGAACACAGTCTGGATTGAACAAGAAAGCTGTAGTGGTGGAATTCAGTCCCAAATCTTTGGGGTCTAATGAACAGTGCCAGAAAATGGTCAAAAGCACAAGTTCCAAGTTTGCAATTCAGTAAGTAGTCACATTTGTTTCTTGCTACTCCAGTAAAGAGGTTTGCAGCTACTGAATCATTTTATTTCCAATGATCCAAAATTATTTTTTATCAGGGAGGTGATACTCATGAAAGTATGAATGTACTTGTGCATGCTGATACTTTCCCGTACATGGTGACAGCATTCCATAAAATATGCACTGGAATCTGGACTGATAACCATTTCTGGCAATTGCTCTTCCGTGCTTTTGCATGGTTGCCTTCCATTGGTATATACCTTGAAGTGGAAAATCAGTGTGCTTAACTCCTTTCCCCTGTCTGCATGGTAGGGAGTAGTACATCTCTGGGATAAGACCAAATGTACACATGCAATTTTTCCCCTTAAGCTCACAAATTTAGGCTGGATTCAGACAACACAAGAAGTCATGGTGATTTATCATTGTTGGTGTGTTTAATCCTAGTATTTCAACATGGTAAGTTTGGTCTTTTAAAACTATGATAAGAAACAATGGTTTGTTCTGTGGTTTCTTTGGATTGTCATGTTGTCTGAACCCAGGATCATGGTTTCAGAGTCCCCTGGAAAGAGTAGCAAATGCAGGATCCGCCCCTGCCATCTATGTGTGGACCAATGAGGAAGAGGCAGCTGATGTAGGCAGGGAGGAAAGCACAGTGACTGACATGTCAACATTGGGAGGACTGTGTGGGGAGGATGGAACCATGATAATATCACTTGATTGTTTGTGCACATTCACAACATGACAAGTAAGCCTGCACGGTTACCATGATTCACAGGTTTTTTACCATGATCTCCCTAACAAACCATCAAGTGACTTCTAATTAGGTTGTCTGAACCCAGCCTCTGTCAGGTAGGACTCATGGTAAAAAAATGTCAAACCTTGATAACCATGCATGGTTGCATGTTGAGTTGTGAGAACCCAGTCATGTTGTTCTCAGTCATGCTGTTCTATTAATTTTTGGCAAAATTTATTGTATTTAGGGCTGATGAGAATCTATTAGTTTATATTGCATCCACTTGACATAAAGCAGTTTTGACTCCTGAACACGGTGTTTGGCATGTTATATTTTATATAGTGTAAAGGGGAGTTGCATATCTGTACCCATGCAGAGGACACACACTGTAGTGAGTGAATCTAATCACCAGTCTCAGCAGGCATCAGAGTCACTGTGACCTGGATTCTGAAGAAGAGGAGGACCTTGAAGTCTCAGTGATGGAAGTTGTAGACACCCAGGGAGAGGGAGAAGTCCTTGAAGATCCCTCAAGGTTGCTGCCCACAGGCTCTCAGGCTGACCAGGAAAGCACAGACGTTTTGGAAGAGATGGAAGGGCTCCAGAAAATGGAGAAGGGACAGTTGCTGCCTTGCCCAGTCCCTGACCCCTTGACAGGCAGGTGTTGGGAGAGACAGGCTTGTGTAGGTCTTGCTGGCCAGTCCTTCACCAGTGGCAGCCACTTTTAGGATGGAACCCTCTGAGTTACTGAAAGGGAAGGATTTTGGGCAGAAGTTCCCACTTTGCTGTTCACACGAGCAGAAGTTATCTTCCAGCCTACTAGAGGGCGTTTAGAGTTGCTTTGTCTTGTAGCTGTGATCTACAAGACAAATACCAACCAAGATCTGTGTGGTGCAGAACACGTACAAGAGAGCCATAGCCACTCATGCTTCCCTGGCACCTGCCCATTGCGTGTTCCTGCATTTATTTATTTATTTATTTAAAACATTTTTATGCCACCCCCATTGCAACAAAGCCTTGGGGCGGCTCACAACAGAAACAAATACATAAATACATAAATAATAACCATATAACATATATATATATATATATATGTGTGTGTGTGTGTGTGTGTGTATATATATATATATTAAAACCCCCTGTGCATCTCGGCTAAAAATTTAAAATCCTATAAATACAAATAATTTAACAATTAAAATAAGTTTTAAATAAAAAGGTCTTAGCCTGGCACCGAAAAACAAATCACGACAGCGCCAGGCGGACCTCTCAGGGGAGCGCATTCCATAGATGGGGCGCCACCACAGAGAAAGCCCTCCTCCGGGTACTCACCCTCCTAATATCATTCACAGAGGGTTCCCGGAGAAGGGCATCTGTTGCTGATCTCAAGGGGTGGGAGGGCATATATGGGCGCAAGCATTCCTTTAGTTATCCAGGTCCCATGCCGTTTAGGGCTTTATAGGTCATAACCAACACTCCCGACTTCAATCGGGAGCCAGTGGAGCTGACGGAGAACTGGGGTTATATGAGAACGACGCCCAGTCCCCGTCAGCAACCTGGCAGCTCTATTCTGCACCAACGGAAGTATCCGGACCGTCTTCAAGGGTAGCCCCATGTAGAGTGTGTTACAGAAATCTAATCGGGAAGTCACCAACGCGTGTGTCACTGTTGCCAGGCAGAATAGACCGTGCTTTAGAGTGCTGCCTCAAGCTCTGGATAAAGCATGGATTGGTTCATTGTGGTAGTCTGTAGTTACATATGATTCCTTTTTGCTTGCTTTTCTTCCATCATCTTTACCAGCTGTTTAAAACTAGACATTAAGGTGCTTAGAACTACATGTGGAAATCATTTCTTGGGTTGAAAATAAAAGGGCTAAAATCGCCTTGGTACATAACCTATATAGGTTATGACCTATAAAGCCCTAAACGGCTTGGGTCCTGGTTACCTGAAGGAGCGCTTGCATCCATATGTGCCCAGCCGCCCCTTGAGATCGGCGGGGGAGGCCCTTCTCCGGGAACCCTCCATGAAAGAAATTAGGAGGGTGGGTACTCGGAGGAGGGCTTTCTCCGCGGTGGCGCCTAAGTTATGGAACGCGCTCCCCAGAGAGGTCTGCCTGGCGCCGTCGTTATTTGTTTTTCGGCGCCAGGCGAAGGCCTTTTTATTCAAGCGGCATTTTAACTGTTAACATTATTGGTTTTATCTGGCCAGGGCGGCTTATTTTATACCGTACTGTTGTATTTTAATTTTATATTTATATTTTAATTTATATTATAATTATTTTAATTTATTGATGTGAGCCGCCCCGAGGCTTCGGCGAATGGGGCGGCATAAAAATGTTTTAATAAATAAATAATAATAAACCTGCTAAATAAAAAGATTTTAGTACATTCAGATTGGAACCTATGCCTCATGTTATAGGACAGTTGCCTGGCAACAGTGACACACGCGTTGGTGACTTCCTGACTTGACTTCTGTAATGCACTCTACGTGGGGCTACCCTTGAAGATGGTCCAGATACTTCCGTTGGTGCAGAATAGAGCTGCCGGGCTGCTGACAGGGACTGGGCGTTATATTCACATGACTCCAGTTCTCCATCAGCTTCACTGTCTCCCCATTGAAGTCCAGGTCCAATTCAAGGTGTTGGTGATGACCTATAAAGCCCTTAACGGCTTGGGTCCTGGTTACCTGAAGGAGCGCTTACGTCCATATATGCCTGCCCGCCCCTTGTGATCAGCGGGAGAGGCCCTTCTCTGGGAACCCTCCGTGAAGGATATTAGGAGGGTGAGCACCCGGAGGAGGGCTTTCTCTGCAGTGGTGCCCAATTTATTGAATCCTCCCCAGAGAGGTCCGCCTGGCGCCATTGTTACTTGTTTTTCGGCGCCAGGCGAAGACCTTTTTATTCAAATGTTATTTTAATTGTTAATACTATTTATTTATTTTAAACTTTGGCCAGGGCGACTTAAAGTATACTGTTTTATATTGTGTTTATTTATTTATGATTGTGAGCCGCCCCGAGGCTTCGGTGAATGGGGCGGTATAGAAGTTCTCTAAATAAATAAATAAGATAAATAAGATAAACAAGATAAACAAGATGAGAATTATGGAAACACTTTAAATATTGAACTAGGATGATTTAGAAGGGGAAAGTCATTCCTAGGAAGTGTAAAATATGAAAGAAAGAGCAATCCTGTGGTGTCCAGACACAACAGGAGGCCATAGGAGCCTTCAGATTCTCAGCCTGGAGGTCAAAAGGAAGGCAGGAAGGAAGGCAGGAAGGAAGGAAGGAAGGAAGAGTGAGTCAGAAGGGGTCTCCTGGGCCATCTAGTCTAACTCTCAGTTCCAGCCGGCTCCACTCATGACATGCCTACCAAAAACAGAGCTCCAGCCTCAGAGCAAGGGATCCATGCTTGGATCACCTTTCAGCATCCTGCCCCCTGTTCTCAGCCAAGCTGGGAAGAATTACACTGGCTGCTTCTCTGAGTATAAGGTCACCTTCAGAGGAGGAAACTGATATGACATATCCTGAGGATATGTTCACCTGGCGCCGTTACTTTATTCTTTTCAGCACCAAGCCAAAACCTTTTTATTTTCCCAGTGTTTTAAGATCTTACTGTTTTAAGTAGGGTTTTTATTATTGCTAAATTTTAGGACACTGTGTTTTAATTAATTTTTTTCTTTTCATACATTTTATTGTTAAACTATCCTGAGACTTCAGTAATGGGACGGTCTACAAAAGTTTAAAATGAATGAATGAATGAAGGTTCAGCTTCCTTCCCTCCCTTCCTCAAGTGCCACAGGTAGGCAGCCAAAACTAGCTGACGTTTAGCATGAGGCAAGTGGAGAGGCAGAGGTCAGCTCTGGGGTTTCCCCTGCCCTGCATAGGATGCGGCAGTCTTCTGAGTTTGCAGGCTTATAGACATCCGGAATGAACTGTATCATAAAGGAACAAACTGCACATGAACGTAAGTGCATAGTTGTGTCCTGCAGTCCAGTTTTTGTTTCTGTTGTTTTTTGCAAATTGCCATCCTGGCCCCCTGAGTTGGAATTAGGGCCCTAGTATAGGATGTGAAGATCTTGCAACCTTCCTCCACTATTCCTCTGCAAGTCCAAAACAGCAGCTACACCTGCAACCTACATTGCAAAAAGGTTCCTCCTCATGAAATTTGCTTTCTCCAAATTTGGATCCCCTTCAAAAACACTCTTCTATAATTAATTATCTTATGCTTGAGACCTCAGCCCACTATTCCAGACTATTAAACAGCAGTCTGCTAATAAA